GTAGTATGTATCTGGGGTGTGGTGTGTGTCTGGGTGTGGTGTGTGTCCGGGATAGGACGTGTATCTGGGGTGGGGGGCTATGTGTCTGGGGTGTGTGTGTGTGTCTGGGGTGTGTGTGTGTGTCTGAGGTGTGTGTGTGTGTCTGGGGTGTGTATGTGTCTGGGGTATGTGTGTGTGTGTCTGGGGTGTGTGTGTGTGTGTCTGGGGTGTGTGTGTGTCTGGGGTGTGTGTGTGTCCCTGCCCATCCTTCACGGCTGGCACCAGGGTAACTATAGTAAACACGCATTGTTAGTCGCATGACAGCAATCCGTCCCAGGGCCAGCGTGGTGCAGGATGGCTGTGCAGCAGCTGTGAACGCTCTCAAGGCCGCTGCCAAGGTCACTGTCCCTCCTGTGCAGCCACAGTGCACACTGAGGCAGGCGGCCGCTCCCAGCTGCTCTGGGCCCTGCTGGTGCACTCAGAACCCAGGACTCAGGATTGTCAGGCAAGCAGTTCCCAGGGCACGGGCCCCAAGGAAGTGCAGTCCTGACCTGCTCACCTCCTTTGTCACTGAGCCCAGGGACTATGCTTGGGGGTGACACCTTGTGCCGTCTCACCTGAGCATTGCAAAGGCATGGTTCCCACCATGACACCCCGGGGTGTCATAACCTCTTTTCTCAGGACCGTCCCAATCTGCCCCAGGGACAAGGTTGGCCTGTTCCGGGGGCTGTGGGGGGAGGGGAGGCATCAGTGGATCTTTCGTATCATCTTCCATTGATAATTCCCCTTCCCAGAGGGAAGAACCGTGGTGGAGAGGGGAAGAAATGTGTCTAGGTGGAAAGGGGCACTGGCAGCCAATCTCCCACCCCAGCTCCTGACATGGGCCCACAGGTGTGGCCCTGTCCCTCCTTTGGATGGGCGGCAAGGCCCCTGGGTGCAGGACAAGAGTGGACCTCCACCCCACCATCAGGCCCCAAGCCCTCCCATCTGCAGGACACAGGGCTCTGCACTACTCTGCCCATGTGGCTCCATCACCTCCACTGCACCCCACGCTGGGCCCTTGTGACATGGCCACCTCTGCACACACCATGGGCTGCGTGTGGTAGACCCCCCCGATTCCCTTTGAGGAAGCGCTTTGGTCTCAAAGGGCCCCCGTCTTTCCTGGATGGCCCAGTCCACGGGGCCACCTTCTGAGCACTGGCCAACAGTGTGTCAGGGCAGGTGGGGACGTCTCCTGGGTGACACATGGGTGGGCCTTCACCAGCTCTGGGGCAGACCCAGTCCCCATGTGCAACCCTGACCACCTGGCCTTCCATCAGTCAGCCCCCTCTGGGGGGTGAGATGCTCCCCAAGACACAGGGTCACCCAGCAAAGCTGGGGGCACCAGGACACAGCAGGGAGAACGGAAGATGCCATGGATATCCTCTAAGTTTCATATTCTAAAAACACTTTGCTAGCCCTTCAATCAGATAGCCCCCAAACCACTGTGACAACTACCATGAAAACAGCTGTTACAGGAAAGAAAAACCCAGCCAAGTTCCAAAGCAGCCCTGCCCTGGGTGGCTGGGGGAGGACACAGAAGGAAGCGGCAGGCCTGGGCCTTGAGCACATTGTAATGCCATCTCCAGGCCCTGGGCCTCACCTGGAACGGTTCATTCCTGGCCCACAGGGCAGAAGATGGCACTCACTCTCCTCAGGAAAGTCTTTGGGACCTGCAAGCCACACTGTGGCCTCTGCCACAGGAAGCATCTGCAGACCCCAACAGAACCCTGGATCCTATTCTGGGGAAATTCACAACCACGGCCCTCTGAGCTCATGGCATGCCCATGATGCCCTGGCCTCAGGCCACCCTGGAAAGGGCTGAAGCCACTCTCTCCGAAGCTGGTTCTCTATGGGGAGGTCTCACAGTCCTCGCAGGCTGTGGCCTCAGTGGAACAAGGGAACAGGAAGGTCCCAGGTGGGGCCAAATGCCTCTGGAGAGCAAGACCACGTGAAAAGGGGTGGCAGAGGGCTGGAGGCCTGAGTTCCCAACCTGCTGAGTCCTTCCTGAGCGCTGGGAAAGGGCCCCGCTACTCTCTCAGCTCCCCCACCCTCTACACACTGCTCCTGGCCACGCTGCTGCAAGCCCATGGCTATATTCACCAGATCTGATCTGCAGCTGCCAGGTTTCTGTGAGGTCTGCCCACGAGAGGCATTGATAGGAGACAGGAAGTCAGAAGAAACGTTTCGTGGCTTCTCATGGGACCCCCAGCAGTGGTGAAGGCAGCGTGGCGGGCAGGGGTACAGCAAGTAAGACCGAGTAACAGTGTTTGACATTTCGCTCTTCCTGCCCACTGCTGGTAATGGAAACCTCACCTTTCCACTTTGTTCCCAGCCCTTCTTAACACCTTTGTAGCCAGTTCCCTGTGTTAAATTCCCTGTGCTTAAAATACCTGGAGTGGTTTCTGTTGCTGTAACAGCTAAGTCCCTCCTCCCTGGGCACCTGTCTTTCATTCCCTATGACCCCAGGGGCTTGTGTACATGCCTAGCTACAGGGAGCACACTTGGGAGCCTCACATTTAAAAACATAACAGTGGCCAGGTGTGGTGGCTCACGCCTGTAATCCCAGCACTTTGGGAGACCGAGGCGGGTGGATCACCTGAGGTCAGGGGTTTGAGACCAGCCTGGCCAACATGGTAAAATCCTGTCTATACTAGAAATACAAAACTTAGCAGGCATGGAGGCATGTGCCTGTAATTCCAGCTACTTGGGGGGCTGAGGCAGGAAAATCGCTTAAACCCGGGAAGTGGAGGTTGCAGTGAGCCAAGATCGTGTCACTGCACTACAGCCTGGGTGACAGAGAGATTCCATCTCAAAAAACAAAACAAAACAAAACCGTAAGTGCTCCTGACCACACGTTCTGCCTGCCCCTACCAGCAAAGGAGCCCTGGGTCCATGGCCAGGTCACAGGGACCCAATAGTTGCTTCCCAGCCTCCCCACCAGGAAGGAGCTTCCTGGGTCTGCCTGAAGGACTTCAGTGCTGTGACAGGACACAGGCTCCTTGGAGACACGAAGCCGTCCGGGCTGCCTGACCCAAGGCAAACTACCTGGCTGTGGAGCCCCATTCAGCTGTGAGAGCGGCCACAGGTAGCTCAGCACAGGCTTGATCCACGGCACCCAGTGGAGGGCAGGAGCCCAGCAAAACTCCATCTCCGCAGCGCTCCATGCACACCAGTATTTCTCCTGTCCGATGCTGGCTGCCAAGAGACATTCTGGGCTCAGCAGACATGGGCCACCTGGGGCTCTCAGAGCTTGTTTAACGGGAGAGGGCAGCACCTCAAAACTCTCAGGAGCTACTGACAACGTGTTTAAAATGTTTAAAAAGAGAGCAATTGGGTTTGCTTTTCCTCTTCATTAACTTCATTCCTCCCCCAGGCAGGCTCTAAGATGCCACTTCCTTTCTTTCTCTATCTACTGATCAGTCAGACGACAACACAGTGGCCACCAGGGCCACCAAGCACTGCCAGAAGCACCAGATACATCTTTGAGGTGTGGTTCTGGACATTCTGCTATCTTTCAAGAGCAGACACTCCATCAGAATATTTTCCAATCCAGGGCAAATGCCTCCTATGTCCCAGGGGAGTACACTAGACTCAGTCTTTTCTGCTGTTATTTTATAATGATGATGGTGACTTTTGAGACGGGGTCTTGCTCTGTGGCCCAGGCTGGCATGCAGTGGCAACGTCATGCCTCATTGTAACCACAAACTCCTGGGCTCCAACAATCCTCAAGGTACGTGCCACCAAGCCTAGTTCATTTTTTGCATTTCTGGGTAGAGGTCAGGTCTTGCTATGTTGCTCAAGCTGTTCTGGAATGCCTAGCTTCAGGTGATCCTCCTGCCTCGGCCTCCCAAAGCAGGGGGACTATGCCCCCCAATATTTTCTGCTTTTAAATACCACAAAGCAAGTCATTAAAACAACTCCCAATCTGGAAGCTCTGAATATTTTAAAAAATTTCCAAATACCGCTTATATCAACCTCCAAATTGTTAGCAGAAATAGAAGCACTCTGGCTCTGGAGGCTGAGGCAGGAGGATGGCTTCAACCCAGGAGGCAGGGGCCACAGTGAGCTCTGATTTTGTCACTGCATTCCGACCTGAGTGACAAATGGAGACCCTGTCTCTTGAAAAAAAAAACTGTTTTAAGGGAGAAGCAATCCTATATACCATGGGTTAGGAAATTGGGGCCTTTGGGGCAAATCTGGCCCACCACGGATTTTTGTAAATAAAGTTTTATTGGCACACAGCCCTGCCCACTCATAGTGTACTGACTATGGCTGCTTTTACAATACAACAGCAGAGCTGAGTGGCTATGACAGCCCGTGGCCACAAGGCCTAAATATCTAGCTCTTTACAGAAAACATTGGTTGACCCCTGTATACCAGAAGTGGCTTCATACTAACTGTTTACAGTTTCCCTCAGGATGGACCCACAACGAAAGCGTGAAATGGCTCAACCAAGGGATGCAGCCAGGACAGATAAGGAAGGTAAACGTGGAGGGGTGTGGAGGATGCTCCCACCCACCGCCCACCTGCAGGAGGAGATAGACGGATGGGGCACAGAGCACACAGAGGGCCCGACTCACCTGTGGCCTGGCAGAAGAGGTGGAAGGTCCCCAGGACGTGCACGTGCTGTGCCTGGTCACTCAGGAAGGGTGGCAGCAAGGAGACGCTTGAGCTGCTGTCGGGCCCTGCACCCGAGGCTGGCCAGGGGGTCCAGGGAGAAGGCCTCCCATCCCCTGCATGGCCCAGACAGGACAGGGAGGAGGAGCCAGGAGGAGAGAGGGGCTTAGGAGATGAGGCTGTGAGACAGAGAGGACAGAAAAGAGAGGGCACTGAGGAAGAAGTCGCCAGGAGCACGTCTCAGGCCAGAGAGGGCACAACACAGCAGGAAACGGACAGAAAAGAGCAAGCCCAGCGGTCCCGCCTGGGCCATGCAGGGGCGGGAGGCTGCACCGCCTCTGCTAAGGAACGTCTTCCCCAAATCAAGGATAGAAGCTTCTCATTTATTTGGGTATTTTCCAAATGTATACAATTCAAAGTAGAAAAATAAAAACAAGGTAAATCTTATAAAACACAAATGTTTACACCAAAATGGTCAAATCCTATCATGCTGGAAGATGAGACTGTCCACACACGCACACAAACATCCAGAGTTTATTGCTCTTCGCCATGGAAAAAGTGTCTCTTCCTGATGGGTATTTACAAAGCAGGGAGATGGAGCATGAAATTAACCAGCGTTGAAATCGTACCACCCATTCACATCTTCAGGACAGTGCCAGGAACAGCGCCGTGCACTCGAGAGGGCCCAGTTGCCTTCCAGTGGTGAGCAGCGCAGGGAGTCTGGATGGAGAGTCTGCACAGGCAGTGGGTATGAAATTGAAGCAAGAAGAGAAAGGAGACATTCAGAGAACCAAAGGCGCCTTTGGGAAGGTTCCATCTGTCTCAATGGGAGGATCGGACCGACGGCTGTGGGCACCAGATTGTACTGCACTCCCCGTCTCAGCTCTGGGCCAGCCTGGCTCCACTCAGCTCACCTGGGTCACCTTGCCTTGCTCAAAACCCACCTCGCGGACATGGGAAGGTCCTCGTCTTTGAGAGAGTAAAAGTTAAAAAAAAAGAAAAATGAAGTACAGAAAGAAAATTTCTTCAAAAACGATGCTTCCCTCAAAAAATAAAGTTAAAACAAGAAAAAGGTGAGTGTGCTCCGAGGTGTGTTTATGTCTACATTTCTAAAAGCAGAAAGAATGCATTTAGCAAAAGGAAGTTTATCCCTGAGAATCTTAAGCAAAGTAAGCCATATTTTATCCCAAATATATAACAAAATATGGAAGATATACATCTTCTTCTAAATATTAAAACACCTGCTTATGTAATTTTAAAAAAATGACCTATGACATCAACATAATCAAAGCAAAATCCTAAAAAAATAATTAAGTGGAAGAAAAGGTTCGTGCCAATCTGGACAACAGGCGATAAGTTACCAATCTGATAAACTAAAACGTCATTTCCAATCTGGAATTAAATCATCTTTTAGTGGCTGCTAGGAGGAGGGGAAGCCGAAGGGATGCTCTTCTCAGCCAACAGAGGTCCAGCCACCTTTCCCCCACTACAGAAAGGGCTCAGGAACTCCGCGCCACCTGCAGGACTTCTTAAAGTGCTCCGGCTGACTGCGGACCACGAGACCGGGATGCAATGCTTGTCATTTTTCCAAAAGGACAAAGAGAAACCAAGTCACAGGCTCAACCCAAGAGAAAATAGACAGAGGACTAGGGTTGTCTGCACGACGCGGGCTAACCTACGCAGCACTGCACGAGACTTGGATACTGAACAGCAGAAACACAAAACTCTCCACGCCTGGACACATCACGGCCGAGGCGCCGGTGGGGACACACAGCCGGCCTCAGTCTCCATCTGCGTCTGAGTCGGCGAACTTCAGCTCACACTTGACGTCGAAGGGCTTGTCCCTGGCAGAGAGGTCGTCAATCCTCTGCGAGTCCTCCCTGTCCGTGGGGACTTTGCTGGTGATGGTGTCTTGCTCGGTCTCATAGCCAGTGTCCAGGGCCGGCTTGGGGTGGTCCCCATTCTGCTGGGAGAAGCTCGCTGGCTCCACCAATGTCTCCTTCAGGCTCTGCTCACGGTCACAAAAATCTGACTTGGGCTTTTTCTTCCCGAGCAGCAGGGCCGAGCGGAATTTCAAGCACTGTCCAGGCAGGTAGCCCTTATAGCAGTTGTAGACGAAGAGGCAGAGGAAGAGAACAAAAAAGAAGAGGAAGAGGGACATGAGGAGGCGGTTGTCGCTGGACTTAAGATACATGGTTTTCTCTGAGTGAAGCTGGGGGACCGTGTTGATGACGATCTTTGGTTCGCAGGATGTGCCGGTGGATGCAGGCTTGGGAGGAAGGGTGATGGCCCCAGAGGAGGTGGCCTGCACGGCTGGAGTCGGGGAAGAAGACCCTTGGGAGGATACCACCAACACTTTGGTGGCAATCCTGCTACCTTCTGTCTGAACAACTGGCAAGGTGGGGGCCACCACGGGCTTTGGAAGCACCTTCACTTCCAGGACATGCTTGGCAACCACTTGGAAGACCGTCTTGTTCTTAACCCTCTCCTCTGACAGGCACTGGTACACCCCACTGTCTCCTTCTGACAGGTTGAAGATAAGCAAGTTTTTTCTGCCCATAAGACCATACTTGGGGCTCTCGACCTTCAACACATCATTCTGGAACTTCCAAAACACCTGGGCCAGGTTGGACTTTTGGGAGCATTTCAGCTCTGCTGTGCCACCGTGCTTGAAAAAATGCTGCCGGTAACTTCCTTTACTTTTATCTGGAACATCAAAATAAATGTGCACAGTGTCAACAATCCCATTTGCTACTTAACAACTTCTTTAAAAAAATAGGTTAATACCCACAAGATGACGCAAGAGTTTCACCCACTGGAGCAACATGGAATCTTCCAGAACAACTAAGGAGATAAAGACATGCGTGACCAAAAAGCAAAGATGAGCCCTGGATGACAGACCAGGGGGGCAAAGAAATTGGAGGCAGCTCTGAGCAGCAGAAATCCCATTTCTCACCCCTGTGTCCCGGAAGAAAACGCGTCAGGCTGGGGAGGCTGAGCAGAGCCCATTCTGCACCTAGTGTCAGCACTCTGAATCAGACACAAGACGTTTCTGCTAGTGGCTACAAGGAAGGCTGGCCTTTCAGTGCATCTCAGCACTCTCCTCCTGCCTAAACTTTTCTTTTTTTCCTTTCTTTTTTTTTTCTTTTTGAGACAGTGTGTGGCTCTGTTGCCCAGGCTGCAGTGCAGTGGTGCAATGACAGCTCGCTGCGGCCCCAACCTCCCAGCTCAAGGGATCTTTCCACCTCAGGCTCCAGGTAGCTGGGACTTCAGGTGTGCACCTCCAGGCCTGGCTACTTTTTGTACTTGTTGTGGAGACGGGGTCTCACCATGCTGCCCAGGGTGGTCTTGAACTCCTGAGCTCAAGTGATCCTCCTGCTTCAGACTTCTAAAATGCTGGTATCACAGGCATGAGCCACTATGCCCAGCCAGCTTTTCTTTTCTTTTTAGAGTTTGAGTCTCGCTCTGTCACCCAGGCTGGAGTGCAGTGGTACAATAAGCTCACTACAGCCTTGAACCCCTGGGCTCGAGAAATCCTCCTACCTCAGCCTCCCTGGTAGCTGGGACTACAGGTGTCTACCACCATGCCCAGATGTCTAAATTTTTCTTAGTCAGATGACAGCTGTCTTGTCAGGGACAGGAGGACACAGAACCGAGGGTCAAGTGTGCGTTTAGCACCCTGGAAGGTGGCTTCTGGGGATGGGGCATCCTGGCCTGATTCCATCCCTCCCTCTGGGCATGGTGCTATTCCAGATATCCACAGGTGGGTAAATCCCAGATTGCAGCCCCAGGGGAATCACCACTCCAGCCCCTCCACTGCCTGAGGATTAACCACTCATGGGCTCCTTTCTCCCCATTTATAATAAGCTTAGGTTTTGTTTAACGAGCCCCAAGCAAAGCAGAAAGAAAACAGGACGGTTTTGGAAGACCGCTTTCCAGTACACAGATACACTCTAAATGGCTTCAAATACTCTTTTGGCAAGAAAAAAAGACAGAGAAGACCACGAGTCTGCTACAGGAACTTGACCTCTGCTCCAAGTGGAGAAAGAAAAACAAAACACACACAAATGCCACAGCACTGAAGCACCATGAAATGGTTACAGGACCTCGCCACTCCCGAAGGAAATGGGGTGTTGAGGAACCACTCACCCGGGCACACAGAGGCATCGCCGCTCATCTCCTGAATCAAACCCCTGCAAAGCAACCAGCACATGTTACTCACCTGCACACACGGGGGGCATCCACGGGCAGCGCGTCCCGCCCCGTACCTGCTGGGACTCTCGGTCTGGTGCAGAGCCACACAGGTCGCCGTGGGCGGGCTCCAGGCGCAGTAAGGGTCCCGCGCCAGCACACAGTCCTCGCAGGTGCTGTGCTTCCCGCAGAAGGCCAGTGGGGCCTGGACCACACCCGAGTTAGAGCCAGCATAGACGAACCTCCTGCCCTGTGCGTGTGAGACAGGAGAACTAGTGTCAGGCAAACGAGCATCCAGCAGCAGGGCCTCTGCTTCTGCACTAGTGTGTGGGAAGCGGCTAGAGCACACCTTCAGGGGACATTGCAGTAAGGAGGAGAGGTACTCAGAACCAGAGGAAAACAAGGCAGGTCTGTGACCTTCTGGCAGAATCCACGTGCTACGTCAGGGATCACTGGGCCTTGGGTCCAAATCCCTCTTCCCCGTGTGGGCACCCACTGCTCGGGTTCTGCCCGCCAGCGGGGCGCTTCTCTGCATGTGTTTCTCTTAGCTGGGAGCAGGCTGTTCAGTCCCCACATCCAGAACTCTCCATGCAGAGGGGGGTGCATGAGCCTGACTCCCGGCCATCCTCCTGGCCTCACCACAGCTGAGAGTCTGGACCCAGCAGGGGCCTAATGTAATAGGGATGCCGAACGGACGACTTGCGAAGGATGAGGACGCAATAAATAACGTAAAAGGAGGAATGATGCCTTTTGCTTTTCATGTGTCTACATGTAAACGGGAAGAACTCACAGATGGGAAATCAACCTCCAAGCTCCAGAGCAGCCACAGCCACGCCCACAGCAGAGGGCAGGTGAGACTCTCCCACCTTTTGGGACACTTGGCTCCCAGTGACACTGGCTTCAGGTCCATCCCATCAGCCCACCTGGCACCAGCAGTGTCCAGCACACAGGCAACCAGGACTGCCGACGGGTTTTTAACACAACTCAGCTGGAAGGAGGGTGCCATACGCTGCACCCGCCTGAAGCTCGGAGGCATGCAGCAGACCTGGAGGCTGGTGAACAGATGCCAAGTACCTGGCAGCTTATAATGAAAGGCTATTTCATTCTCTTTCCCTTTCAGAACTGAAGGACAACTCTCCACTAGCAGAGAGAAGCGTTGACCATATAAAAGGACCCAGGCTCCTTAAGCTTTGTGGATGCAGGAGAGGGAAGAGGATGGGAGACCTGGAGGGGCATTTGCAAATACACACCTGCCAAGGGTAGCTCTGTTCTTACCTGGCCAGACAGGGGCCCCTTCCTCTACCTGTTGCTCCCGGCTGAGGGAGGAGGGGCCTGACTGGACCTGGATCCCACAAGGTGGGTGGAGGTCCTGGCAGGAGCCAGGTCTAGGGAGGCAACCCCCTAAAGGCAAGCATGGATGCCCACCCACCCCTGCCAAGGGCTGCGTGGGAGTATTGCAGGCCAGAGCAGAGATTCTCAGCCACAGGTGGAGAGAGCTTTACAGACGAGACAAACCATCTTGAGGAGTTTCCATGCTGACGAGTCAGCTGTTACCACTATCACACAGATGCAGTCTGCACACCCCCCAAGCTCAGGGCACAAAAAGGTGTTTTCATGGAGTGGTACCCACCTCTCCACAACCTGTAAACCTGCATCAACAACTCAGTGACGTTCCAGCAACTTTAAAGAGAAAGTCCCATCTCCCCAGGTCTGCCTTCCTGCCTTCACCGGTTCAGATCCCAAAGCTCACAGAACGGCTTTGTGTCAAAGTCCGAAGGTCTGCTCATCCAAGGCAGATAGACAGAGGGGCCTGCCTAGGAGCCCAACCCCAGCCTGGCAACTCTCCGGTCACCCAAAATCGAAGCTACCGAGTGGGGAAGTCTCCCGGTCTGGCTGCCTGCATCACTTTACCTTCTTTGAAGACAGCAGCAGGGTCTGGACTGGCTCAAAGTCCTGGAAAAGCTGGGTCTCCTCGATGATGTGCACGGAGTGCTCGAGGCTGATGGCTTTGTGCAGAGCTCCCCGGTCTGCAGGGTCAAAGCTACAAGTCAGTGACACTGACCCAGACACAAAAACCGACGACAGCGACCACAGCAGCAAACTTCACACTCTTCACCCACAATTCACTCCCTCAACAAGATACAGAGAAAACAATGATTTTGCATTAGAAACAAAAAATGGAAAAGCCTGTGGCAAAATAAACAACTGGAAACTCAAGTGTTATGGGTTATTCCAGTTTTTTCCATGGAAACCAGACTGTTCCATGGTGGACCCCAACAATCCTCATCAACAGTCAACATTACATTTGAAGCTGGATGCCAAATGAGGGGGCTCCCACACTCCACAGGCCCTCAGGGTGTCATTGGTAAGGGCCCTAGGCAGGCAGTGAGGGCAGGGGGCATGTGAGGTCAGCTGGGAGGCTCCCAGGGCCCCTGTCCCTGTTCCAGACAGAGTTCACGTGCCAGGGCACATTTCAAACCTGGCTCCTCGGCCAGGAAGCAGGGACATGGTCTTCTGTCAGCAGTTAGGAGATGCCAGGCTGACGCCTCCTCCCAGGCTGGCTCACACCTGCGCCCTGCACAGGCACTGCCCCAGCTCCTCAGCGGCCAGGACTCCTCTGTAGCAGCTCAGCCCAGACGCAGGCCAGGACTTGCATTTTTATTTTTAAGAAGTACCCCTAGTTGCCTGGTGGTCCCAGATCTGAAAGACACCTGGTGTGGTGACTTCTCAGAAACCTTTTCACGTTCCCACAAACCTCCCGGGTCACCTCGAGGGAGGCAGTGGATCCACTCACAAAAGAAAATTGGATTTCCCGGTTTTCCTACCAAAGGACACAGATGTGCCGGAACCCACCAGTGCTGACAAACATGACGTCATAGACAGTCCCATCCAGAGCCTGGGTCCGGTCCACCACGATCTGGGTGTAGTTCACATCTTTCTTGATTAACCTGGGCCTGTTGTCTATTGGGGTTACAGAGTCGTCCATCAGAGGGTGGTCTTTGACGAACTGCAGCGTCTTGTCTGGCAAATTCAAGGAGCTGGTGTAGTTGGCTGCCCGCGCCTCGCTGTCGATGCACTGCAGGGAGAAAATCCCCCGCTGTTAATGTGCTCATGTTCCCAACACCCAGCGCGCACTTCCACACACGCAGCCAACGCAGGAGGGCTGCAAAACCCGGAAACCACGCAATGCATTCCTTGAAATGAGGGTCGCAGTGAATCACTTCACTATGCGGAAAGGTGGCCTCTCCCTAGCCTGAAGAGGACACAGTTATAAAACCCATCTGCGAAAGAGGATTGCACTTCACGATACATACTCAGGGAAGGAATTTTTATCTATTTGTAAGTGAAAAACACTTATTGAGCTTTTGAAATTGAAAAACAGAACACTGATTTGCAGCTTTCTCAGGAAAACAATGCTAAACACTGCTAAAAACAGGCCAATTTTAAACAGTGTAAGAGTCTGAGGGTTTTTTTCCTAGCTCCCTGATGTGTGTAAACCAAAATTTGTGGCCACAAGTGAACACATTTTACCAAACTATGGACAGAAGGAACCATGGTGGTGTCAGGGACAGACGCCCTTGGGAGGGAGCTGGTGCTAGCCGCAGTGAGCTCTCAGGGCTAGGACACCACAGGTAGGCCACAGCCCCACCGAGGACCATACACATGCCTCACACACCCATTTCACCACGTGAGGGAGGGAACTGGACTGGAAATTCCCAATTTCTACACAAAGTTCACTATATTTAGGAGGAAAAAACGTGACTCCTGTTGACTAGTGGACAGTGCAGAGGCCTCAGCCCAGAAAATTATTTCTCTGTAAGAAACTGAAAATGAAATTGACCTTTTTCTTATGCAATGTTAATTTTGCAAAACAGCTGCCCCAGCGTCACAGCCTTCTTGTTTGTGCAATAGTGTAGCAATGGCTGTTATGTAACATGCAAAGGGAAGAAGGATCAACTGTGTTCATTGGCCCTCCCAGTCCTAACACAGAGAGCCCTGCAATGGCCAGGTACCCAGCCCATGGGCAGGCCCCAGTGCTTGCACTGCGCTCCACGCTCTGGGCCTTGAAAATAAACTGAAAAATAAACTGTTAAAAAGGAAAAGCACGGCCCGCCCCCAATGCCCCCGCTCACCGATCCAGGCCGCGGCTTGGGTACCGGGCCATTGTAGCGCACCCACTTGGTGTGGGACTGCTCCACCGTGGCACTCTGCATGTACTTCCCGTGGGAGAAGACCTCCTCGGCCGTGGACAGGTTGTAGGCACACACTGCCGACAGCCCCACGTTGTTCCTGGGGAGGGGAAAGAGGTGATGGGACTGCCTGGCAGGCATGGGGGGAACAAGGAGGGTGCCTCCGCCCAGGGCACTTACAGCTGTGGGCTGAAGAGCGCGTAGAACACAGGCCCCTTCAGGCCTGGGGACCTGAGCACGAAGACGTCTCGCAGCACATTGAAGATCAAGCTGCTGTCCGGCTGGGAGCAGATGAGTCGGGCCTTCAGGAAGGAGGTCCACTTCTTCTGCAAGGTCCTCAGGCCACCCTGGTCCCCCTGAAACCCAACAACAAGTATATGGTGGGCCGAGGGCGGATCCCCTGTGAGCAGGCACTAAGGTCAGAGGTGCACCCCTCCATGGCCCAGCACAGCGCAGCTGTGTCTGAGTAAAACAAAGCTCAGGCAACAGGGGACAGAGGCTGCAGACAATTATGTGTGTGGCCTGCAGTGCCACATCCAAGTTCCAGCTTGGATCCCAAACGCTCCAGGGTTAACACACAAAACAAAACGGACAAAAACCCACTCAGTGAAAGCTCATTCAATCGTCCATGCCTGCACGTGCCCAGCACTCAGTCCTATAACCGCAGAGATGCTTCCGTGCTCAACACTTCCAACTGCCAAGGCCCCTGGCCCTGTGTGACTCCTGACACACGACCCATCAATGAACATGCTCTGGGTGGGGTAGGTGGTGGCAGCCTCCTTCCATGGGGCAGCCACAGCCCTGCAGCCTGTCTTGGGCAAATGTGTAAACCTTCCTCCCCTTGAAGGAAAAGATCCTTCACTTCCTTTCTACCCAAAGTATCTGCTAAAGTGCTTTGAACCTACTAGGTTCTTTATAAATGCTTTTCAGCAACCTGATGACCAAGACACAATTATAAACTATGCATGACTGTGTGTGGTCTGGTGAGAAATACTGAAACCATAAAATCCGAGTGCAGAAAAATATGAAATAGAAGCAGACTTACTTATTGTGAACACAGGGAAAATGTTCCCTCTTCATCTCTGCTGTGTGATTACAGGAGGCCAAATTCTCTTTTTTATAAAAGGACTTCATTTTGCTCCTTGATGTTTTGGCAAAGAATCATTTCTAGCACATTTTTCATCATGGGTCTCATTTGGCTTTCAGGTCATGGTGAGTAGGCGAAGGGTTCATGTGTGCCTGGGTGGTAGGCAGGAGCTATGGGGGCCAAGCGCAAACTACCCCAGTCCAGGGGTTCAAACAATTGTGGAGAAAAAAAATACGAAGGGATTGGAGGGGATGACAGCTGGGCACCTATGACTTGCAGAGATTTGTGGGGGGTGGGGCTGGCTGCACTGTGCCTCACTGGATGTGTTCACTGATCCTGCTGCAAACCCTCAATGCTGGATAAGTCAAGGTCAAGGCAGGTCTGACCCTTGGCTTCCCAATGGCAGGAGACAGCTCGAGCCCCTTGGCCAGTGCTGCTCTGAGAACATTCTGAGCACTCACCGCACACACCTGCAAAGAGCCCTGGCCCTGCAGCACCCTCCCCACCTCAAGGAACGCTGGCCGGCCCCCCACACTCACACTTTTGGTAGGATGGTTTCCTGGTCTGCAAGACAGGAGCATAGCAGCTATGGCTGGGGGACAGGCGGAGGATCTGGTCAGTGAGCCCTGGCTAGAGAAGGCCTGGGCAGAGGCAGAGCACCAGGTGGATACTCAGGTGAGCATATCACCCACCTTCTTCTTTACGTGAGGGGTTGTTAAGGGAACGGCGTCAAAAGCACCCACTTTGTGCGCCATAGGCATGAAAGGAACCCCTGCCCCCTGACGTCCTGATGGTCATCACTGTATGAGGAAGAGCCATGCAGGAACCATCTAACAATTTCCACGAGGGATGAACAGCTACCTGCTCCGAGCTGAGCCCCTAGCCAGGGACACGGCAGCTGGCTCTCATGGTTTGCCATGGCTCCTCTGAGGCCTGGCAATCCGCCTCCCAGAAACTGCCACTGAGCAGCCTTGAGATCTCCTACAGTCAAGCCCACAGGCCGTTCTCCTGTGCTGACCACTGTGCCTTCAGTGTGTCACTTTAAAGACACCCTCCCTCCCCCAGGATGTACCTAAAGCTTTGTGTTTTGGCGGACTTCTTGGTTCTCTCTTCCTAATCTTAAGCTGTCAGTTAATGTTTCAATCTCAGGTAGATTAAGAGCCAAATGGTGACATTCCGACAGACTCTGGTGAATATATTCCACAAAGCCTTGCTTTTTATACACTGGGGAGGCTTGAGGGGGGTGCATCAAAAAACAGAACCTCCTGAGAACAGGAGGCTGATGGGTCGCACATGGGGGCCAGCATTCCTCCTGTCCCCACGACCCCCAGAAATAAGGCCTGTTGAGAGGCACATCTGAGGCCCCAGGGAATAAAGTGCTAGGGGAAGTGACATTTCAGACGAAGGTCGGAGCACTCACCATCCAGGCACACTACTGTCACGGCAGGGGCCAGGCAAAGACGGACTGCCTGGCACTCACCTTGCACACTCTTGCTATCCGTGGGATCTGCAGCCTGAACACAAACTCGTACTCCACAGACACCTCCGTGAAGAAGAAGTAGACCCTGTCATCCTCGCCGTTGGGGCTGTCTGGGCTTTTTCGGATCACGTCAGCAAACACGAAGTTAGGCTCTGCAGAGAGAGGTCAGTGATTATCCCGGAACACAGAGCTGGGGGACTGCCTGCACCCACGAGGTCACCAGGCCAGCCTGCACTGCCTTCGGGGGCCTGAGGGCTTCCCTGCAAGGATATCTGGAGTGCACACATGCCATAACCCAAGCAGAAATTCCAGGGTCCAGGGATGATGACAGCACAGAGCCCAGATGGTGCCCTACCTCCACCTCCCTGGCCTCAGAGAGATGCCCTCAATAGTGGCTCTGGGGAGCGCATCCTACCCAGGTTCACCCGAAGAAGTGAGGCTGGGCCTTCTGATTACAAGGCAGGGAAGCAGATGGTATCAGTATCAGAGACCTACGTAAGGTATGCATTTGCAGGTTTAAATAACACATGCTTCAAATAAACAAACTCTAACCACAAGATCCTGCCCCGCCCCAAGGAATAGCCAGCTGTCCCTGAATCTTGGGTCTTGGGATCTGCCCTGAGGTAAACAGGTTCAAAACCCAGGGCTCTGCAGGCTGGCACCCACAAGAAAAGACCCCATGAACAGCCACCAGCTTCTTCCTACACATTGAAGATGGAAATCAGATACGTGCTGCTGGCAGCAACAAGGCACCCAGAGCCATCCAGCTGGGTGCTAGAGGCTGGCCTGCAGGCACACACCAGTGTTCACTTTAATTTCACTCTGGTAATTACACCATGTCCCCATCCGATTAGTCTGAGTTTGCCATTTACTATCAGATTCTCACTTTTATGAGAGTCCCAAATCCATTTATCGGGGGTTAGCGGGGAGCCGTCTTAAGACAGTACACTGTTAGCAGAGAAAACAGCAAACAAGGCACCGTGGGACTCTGGCCATTGCTGAGCAATTCGGGAAGCGTCCACCCCACCCCTGCAAACGGCGGCTGACACAAGCTTGGGGGCCCTCAGGGCTCAGAGACAGCAAAAGGAGAGATCAATGGGGGCATGTTCACGAGGAGACCACACCTCCCGCTAAGGTGCACTGCTCCTCCTTACCGTTCAGCCAAGGGATTGCATATTCCGTTCTCAGGGGACTAGAGGAAGAATTTCGGGCGATGATGGGTTCACTTCCCAAAAAATTATACGACGTCCCCGAATAAAGTTCTCCATCTGCAGGGGTCCAGGAGAAAAGAGGAAAAGGGAACCAACCTCTCAGGCTATGGCACCAACACTGGGACAGACATTCCACACAGTGGTTCCCTTTATAAACCAATTAAGCCCCCACCCCCACCCTGGGGGAGGGGAAAGACAGTCTCCTCAACTTTTGGGGTGCCCTGTGTCTTCTAGTTCTTTCTTTTTCGAGATGAGGTTTCTTGTTTAGATACAGGGTCCCACTCTGTTGCCCAGGCTGGAGTGCAGTGGTGCTATCTTGGCTCACTGCAACCTCCGCCTCCCAGGTCAAGTCATTCTCATGCCTCAGCCTCCCGAACAGCTGGCACTACAGGGACAGGTCACCATGCCCAGCTAATTTTTGTATTTTTTGGTAGAGACAGGGTTTCATCCTGTTGGCCGGCTGGTCTCAAACTCCTGACCTCCAGTGATCCAGGTGTGAGCCACAGTGCCTGGCTTGAGGTGAATTCTTGCTGTTTCCCAGACTTGTCTCAAACTGCTATCCTCCCGCCTAAGCCTCCCAAGTAGCTAGGACCACAGGCATGCTCTCACTTTGTTGAGGATAATTTTATGCTCCATGTTCAGCTGCATTTTAAGAGTCGTGGGGCAATAAGTAAATGCAAGCAACGCCCGCATCCAGGAAAATGTTGGCAGATGCAACAGTGGGTACACATGAGGCTATGGCCACTTGCTCAGCGGTGCGAGACCACAGACAGCATGTGCCTTGGTCAAAACCTCCCTCCCAAACAGGAGCATCTGCTCACCTTGCTAGCATTATCCAAATGACATGAGCCAGCGATGGATACAAAGTGACATTTACCGTGGTAGCTATTATCTTCACGAACAATGAATTCAAAAGTTAAAGGGTCTAAGCAGATATGTGTGTCTTTTGTAAGGATAGCTCGTATTTAAACAAAGCCAAGGAAGACAGGACTTCACAGAAGATCCAAATATCCTGTTTGGTAATTAACATGACACTGTAATCTTCGGGTGAAGGAACTGTAGGGGCAGGACTCACCAACTATGACGGATGTGTAGCTGTGTGCTGGGTCAAAGGGACATCTTCCTTTGCCATCTTCATTTCTCCCCAGAAACTTAAAGGATGTTAAGCTCTACAATTGAATAAAAAGAGAGTACCTCATCAAATGGCTGAATTTCTGTGGTAATAATGTGTCTTTGTACCATTTAGTTTTACAAATTTGCTATTCTCGGAAGACCAACAGGGCCGCAGGTGGGTGTGGCGCCACGGGAGTCCCGCCCACCAGAGCCAGGCCATGTGTTGCTCAGCTTGGGTCTGGACATCAGCACCTCAGTGCCCTTGCTCTGATGCCCTGGCCAAGCTTCCCAAGATCTCAGACCCTCAGTTTACTCATCTGCAAAATGGAAATGGCAACGCTGATGGCTCTAGGGCTGGAAAGCCGCCAGGACGAACCGAATACAGAACTTGCTCAGTATGTGAGCGGAAGCCCTTGTGCAGAATTTTAACATCAATAAAGACTGCATTCTAAGCAGCTAGATGACCCAATAAGTAGGAAACAGAAAAACATAAACAGGCAGAATCCCTACCGCGCTCTACTCACCAAAATATATTCCAGATGAATCGGCAATCTGATTACTAAAAACAGAACAGCACTGCACTAAAATGAAGCACGGGCTGGCACTGCCATCTGGGGGTCATCTCTTTACTTGGCCAGAGCGCCCACAGCCACACGAGGAAAAAATGCACAGAGCCATTCACAGAGAGAATTGGAAAGTTCCACACAAGGAAATAACACGGCAAGGTTAAATACATAACAAACTGAGGAAAATGCCTACAGAATGGCAGATGAGGTATCTCTATCCCTGAATAGGTGAAAAGCGTGGACAAATGAGTGAGAAACAGTATCCAGCGGAAAAACAGGCAAAACCCAGCAAGTGGCAGAAGAAACCCATCTCGGCCGCACAGACGAGAGAGGAGGGCTGAGGCTGCTGGGAACCAGAGAGCACACAGAACACGTGTGGGGATGCCGCTTGGCAGCCAACAGCCTGGGGAGGCTGAAGAAAACTGTCATGGCCCACCGCAGGGTGAGGACACCCAGCACCTCGGCCGCAAGAGGCTGGCTGGAAATGCACTCTCAGAAGCAGAGCAGGAAAGCTCAGGCCATGTGAAATGCCGTAGCTGACACCCCTGAAAGGCTGGTTAAAACAGCACACGGCTCTTCACCTGTCAGGTTACGGAATGTGAACTCCATTCGACGTGACCGTTTATCATACCTTAAAAGGAGGTTTAAGGCTGTTGGGGAAATCTGAACAGGGACTGGAGACCGGATGATGCTGGTGAATTATTGAACATTTTCTTAGAAATAATGACAAAACTGGAGTTATATAGGAAAATGTCACTATTCTTATGAGACGCCTGTGAAGGCATTTGGGAGTCATGGGTCAAAGTTCAGCAAGCACACATATGTGCACACACGGACACACACGTGGACACAGACATGCACAGGCAGACACGGGCACACACACGCTCCCAACTGTGCCATCTAGGTTGCCAGTGTACACAAGTGATACGACTTTTATGCAGGTGCAAAAATTTTTATTAAAAATTAGGAAAAATTATAGCTCTAAATTTAAACCAAACACACTATCCTCTAACCTCAGCAACTAACCTAGCTACAGAATGTAAGTTTAAATGACAGAACTTTAAGCTTCTGATTAAATTGAGGTTAGCCAGAAAAATCCTTTGATATGCAAAATGTTCCTAGTCCAACTGCATTTTTTCACACAAAAAGAAATACAAATGACTGTCTTTGAGGACTGAGGGTCTTACCATCCCCAAAGCACCTCCCACCCCATCAGCTTTCACTGCCAACATCTGTGGTACAGGCACCTGGATACACCCCTGCTATGAATCTCACCTGGTATTTGTGTGCAAACACCAGGCTTCCTCAGCAAAATGAGGCCATATGCTGTCTTGTCATTTATCTCTGACTTCAGATTGGAAAATATTTTAATTCTTATTAATTTAGGGTGCTAGCAAATGATGCTTTTCACTGTGGCATATTTCACATTTATCGGGACTCATTAAAATCCAGGGACACACAGTCAAAAGCGTGCTTCATTTTCCATGTTCACATGACTTTTTAAAAATGCTCCTTCCTCCTCTCTTTCTGACGGTCATCACGTTGCTCATCTGATTATCTGGATAGAAAGGACCCTCACACAGGGGGAGGTGCCGGACACCAGGCTGGGCAGTCAAGGATGGGACACGGTGAGGGAATGAGGCCGGACCTGCTTCTCAAGGAGCTCAGCACACTCCACCCCCGAACCCAGGAGTGGTTGAGTGAGCAAGCTGCACACCACAGCCCACCCGAAGGGTGGATCTCAGAGCCAGAGCACAGATGCACCAACCAAGAACACACAAGCCAGGAGCAAGTCCTGACTTTCCCACCTGACCCAGATGCCCAGTGCTGTGCCAGGCTGTCTGTCCTTTCCAGCACGCTCCTCCTGTCTTTTCCCCCTGACCCAGATGCCCACAGCGGCCGGGCTGTCTGTCCTTTCCAGAATGCTCCCTGCCATGGCACACTCTGCACTAGCACCAAGGGCTCCCAGCACCTTGAGCCTCGCCCCAGGCCTCGCCCTTGGCCATGGACACCGACATTTAGAGGAACCAAGTAGGCTGTGTGCCCCTGACAGCAGTCATGCAAGGCTTTCAGAGGGGCCACAAGCTGCCCCTATTTTCTGCAGCTGGCCCAGAGAAAATCCTATTGCTTTTTTAGGGTAGAGACAACTTTATGTCTGCCTTGAGCCCCCTTCTACTTTCACTGCTGACCAGGCTGGCGTGAGCACAAGGAGGTACCCAACAGTCTTACCAGGTAGTCACAGGCCGGCTGGAATGCGTTGGTCCCACACACGTAAAGGGAAGTGGCGCTGAGCGGCTGCAGCACCCGGATATAGTTGAGGCACTCTGTCTGCAGGGAAGAGAAATGCACCATTAGCAACTTTCCAGCCCAAATGCCCTCCACTATTCTAACTGCTGACGCCGTGTATCTCAGGGGCACAGACCCACGTTCACCAACACCAGCTCACACGTGGCCTCGGACCAACGAGGTATGTTTGCATTCTCGGCCTTGTCTTGTCATCTAGACCCTCTGCAGCTCCTCTTCACACACTGGCCTGTTCTCGTGCAGTGGGAGGGTCACTGGCCCCAATCCCTCCCCTGGGCAAACCTAAAGCTGAAGTTGGCCTGAGAAATTGTATCTCTGCAATGTCCATAGGCTGTTCAGGTTTCAGTCCCTAATTGACACTCAGCAAAGATGTGGTGACTAAAAAAAAACTCAATGAATGCTTACCTCAACTCTTACTGGGACACCCACTGTTGAAAGCAATACATTTTACTCTTGCTAAGTACATCGACTATTTGTTTCGTTGCCAGACCTGGGGACGTGTCCACGCTACAGAATTCCCTCTTTGTTCCTGGAGACCTCACCCTGCCTCCCACTTGCACAGAACTGGAAACAGCAATTCTAGGTCTACCCAACCCAGGGCTCCAGTCCAGCCCCCAGGGAGAGGCTGCACTAGGAGAGCCTGGAGCATGGCTTGGCATCAGAAAGGCCCAAGCAGGAAAACAAAGAAACCATTTCAGAACCCACTCTTTTCAGGCTGAAAGTACTCAGATTACATGTGCTATAGTCTGAAATGATCCCAGATTAGGAGAGTTCTCTTTTTGTTTGAACTGTTTTTAAACAGGTTGGAAGTAATTCACTATTCACCCCAACCCACCTGCACACCCCCAGAAACTGGAGCTATACTGCACTGCCTGCTTTTCCTCTCATTTCCTAAACTACCTTTGGATTTGAAGACAAAGACGTCAGTGCAAGTGTTTAGCATCTGTGGGGGGAAATCCCCGCAAGTGCTGAGGCAACGTTCTGAAGCCTCAGCCTGTTCCTGTATGAATACTGAATTAGAAAAGAATTAAAAAGATAAGCACATAGTTATTCCTATATATGATCATATATAATCATTTAGTTATTCACATAAAATCATAAAGATATATATATAGCCGGGCGCGGTGGCTCACGCCTGTAATCTCAGCACTTTGGGAGGCCGAGGCGGGTGGATCACGAGGTCAAGAGATCGAGACCATCTGGTCAACATGGTGAAACCCCGTCTCTACTAAAAATACAAAAAATTAGCTGGGCATGGTGGCACGTGCCTGTAATCCCAGCTACTCAGGAGGCTGAGGCAGGAGAATTGCCTGAACCCAGGAGGCGGAGGTTGCGGTGAGCCGAGATCACCCCATTGCACTCCAGCCTGGGTAACAAGAGTGAAACTCCGTCTCAAAAAAAAAATATATATATATATAACCTTTTAATTTTACTAATGATTATCAGGTAATGAAGCATGGAACGCAGGTGACATTGTGAACAAAGTGATCCTAAGGCAAGATGCTCTAAGCCCTCTGTCACGCCCACGTAAGGGCTGCCGGAGGGCACCTGGGCTGTGCAGCAGCACCAGTACTGGGAAAGTACCCACTGTTTAGCCAGCTAGGGAAGGAGACATCCAAAGGCTGAGATATGTCCTTCCTAGGGGAGTTGGGAGAAAATTCCGCTTCTCCAAGCTCTTGTGGTAGACCTGACGGCTGTCAGGGAGGCCCACAGACATTTGGGGGCTTAACTGCCTCTATGTGATGCTGCACTACAATGGTCACGTTCCATGTCCACTTTCATGTTCCGCTTCTGCACCTGGATCCTCTTTTCCTTAGAAGATAAGAATTCGTAATAGTAACATAAATCTTAATGTCCTTAATATTTTTGACAGTATGTGAAAAGCACTGATGCTTAGGTTTTCTCCTCGCCTCAGCTACTTCAAAGTCCTGGGCCCCTATCTCCAAGGCACGTGATTTACTTGACCCTATCACTGACCACCAATGCTTCGCCCTACCTGCCCTGCCCCCTGCTTCGTACTTAATAAAAGTCAGAGTGTCCGGGCCCTCGGGGCCACTGCCGGACTCCGCGCTTTGGCTGGCAGTGGATGCCTGGGCCCAAGCTCTGTTTTCTCTTTCTCAGTGTCTTGTGTCTTTTATTTCCACAGTTTCTCGTCTCCACACCTGTAGAGAGGGGCTCAGGGGACCCTGTAGGGCTGGACCCTACAAGCATGTCATTAGGAAAGTTTAGCAAAGGCTTCTTGGGTTTTCTTTCTTTTTTTTTTTTTTTTTGCTCTTAACTCAGCTTGTTTTGCCCACCACCGAGGAAGACTACCCAATGCCAGGTAGGGACACGATGGCTCAGAGGGTGACAAGGGTAACCTAGACCTGCAGACAGGAATAAGCACTCCACCCAGGGCTCCCTGAATGAGCACCACACTGAGGAACCTGAGGGACCAAAGCGACAGATGTGTGCCAAGAATCCAAAAGTTGCAGTGATAGAGAAAGGAAGCAGAGAAAGTCTAGGCAGACAGGGGCAGGTCCCTGGCAAAAACCCCACCTTTGAGCCAAAAAGCCTGAAACCTGTAGCCCAGAGTGAGAACTTCTGTTTTTCTGTTCTCTCATGACTGGTTTTTTTCTCTCATTTCTGAATAATGCCTTTTTACAATCAAATGTTGTCTTTTCCATAAAAACCTACAGCAGCCCACCCTGTCCCCCATCCTGTGCCTAAAAGACCCCAGACTCAGTTGGTAGAGAAGAGAAGGGGCTGGACTGGAGAGAGGTGACTTGACTTCAGAGGGACGGATGGACTTTGGAGAAATGGCTTAACTTTGGAGAAGAGCTGGCCATGAACAGCCAGACTTCAGGGAAGATTATTTGCCTGTCCTATTCCCTCTCCAGCCCCCCTCTCCGATGAGAGCCACTTCTGTCACTAAACAAAATTCTCTGACTCCACCATCCTTCAAGTGTCCATGAGACTTCATTCTTCTTGGAAGCCAGACAAGAGCTCAGGACCCACTGAACGTGGGTACCCAAAAAAGGCTGTCCTACTGGCCCTTTGCCCTTACTGGCAGAGGGCGTCTGCCCCATGCAATGAGGCAAGGGGCCTACTGAGCTTATAACACACCATTGTCCACAGAGAGCAGAGATGAGAGAGCATTGTAACATGCCCTCTGGGGCTGGGGGGGCCACAGGCACCCCAAACTGGGTACCGCCACAGGGCCCACAGAAAGCCTGCTCCTGCTGGCACCCAAAACAGCCAGCCAGCCAGCCACCCAGATCTTTCACTTGTTCCCTCACGTGCTCCCACCTGCAAGAGGTTGAATGCAGCAGGCCAATTAAATGGGGCACCTCTGTCGCAAGTCCAGTGAAGGGGTTGAGAAAAACTGCATGCCTAGCACTCCTCCAAGCCTAAGGCCTCTGCGTGCAGGGAAGCAGAACCAACCCTGAATTTCTATACCATTCACAGTGGGCTTCAGAAGTCGTACTCTGTAGTCAAAATTTTGGGCCATTTGAATACATTCAATTCATATAAACTTTAAAAAAATATCTACCAAAGGCTGACTATGCTTGGCACCTGCTCTGAGAAACCCAGCCCTGATACTCAGGAATAGACGAATGAGCTCCAAGACGCATCACAACAATGTAACCAAGCCCAGCAGAATGAACAGAACCTGGAGAAAATGCCTGGCCTGCACTGCAGGAGTCCTGGCATTCAGTAGATTAAAACCACCATGAAATACTTGCATGGCATTTTTTTGTAGCTTGCAAAAGAAATTACCTGTTTTGATTTCCCCTTTTCTGCGCATTTTGCTTTTTTGTCTTCTGAGACCTTCCAATGTACCTGTTGGGAAAGAGTCCATTTCAGCGCATATTCTTTTAAAGAGATACTAGCATAAAAATGCTTTAAAAAACATATTTGAGTTTAGAGCCTAGAGGGTTCTCCTGAGATGATCAACTCTCAGACTGCAAGGGAAGTTGAGAGAGCTGGGGAACAGCCTGGGGCCTTCATGAACATCCTCACTGTGATCCTTATCCTGAAACAAGTGGAATCTGGAAGACCGGCTCCCAAATTTCCATCATACACCACAAAACAGCAGCAAAAATCAAACTAGTGAAAGTGGAGAAAATTATATTATTTGTCAAATACCTAAACCGTAAGTATTTTCATACATCAAAGTGGGCTTTTTCACACCCATTCAAAGTGACTCTACAGGCCAGGCAAGGTGGCTCACACCTGTGATCCCAATACTTTGGGAGGCTGAAACAGGCGGATCACCTGAGGTCAGGAGTTTGAGAGCAGCCTGGCCAACATGGTGAAACCCTGTCTTTACTAAAAACACAAAAATTAGCTTGGCATGGAGACACATGCCTGTAATCCCAGCTACTTGGGAGGCTGAGGCAGAAGAATTGCTTGAACCCAGGAGACAGGTTGCAGTGAGCCGAGACCCTCCAGTCTGGGCAACAGAGCAAGACTCTGCCAAAGAAAAAAAAAAGTAACTCTACAGTCTAGGGTTTTTTTTTTTTTTTTTTAAAGCCTCAATATTCACTGTATCAGTGAAAAGAAAGAATTACGCTTCCTTAAACTTGCATGTTGGCAGCAGGAGGAAGTGATGAAGTAACACCACCAGCTCAGCTCAGACACTGTCTTAGTTAAGATCCACGTTCCTACCACCTCTTTTTTCAAACCAGGGACGATTCATAATCAGAAACTGTCAGGGGGTGGGAACCTTAGCCCCTTACCTTCCAAAGCCCCCACAGGATAGAAAGCAACAGAAGACAAAAGGGAAAGAACACAGGCTTCTATACCTATCCCTGACTTACCTTCCTCAAAATGCCCCATCTCTCTCCATAATGCTCCATAACTCATACAAAAGAAACCAGTAACAATACATTGTTCTCCACCCAGAGGCTTGTAGTGGGTGTCAGGGCTCAGAGGTTAGGAAGCACACAGGGCTTCTAGGAGGGAGAGTGTGAGGAGGGGAGCCCCACTGTAGGTGTCTAACTAACTCAGTGCTGCCTGCACAGCACCCAGGCAGCAGACACAGTACCAAGGGAATGTCTTTTCATGGAAATGGAAGTCCTGATCAGGACACACAAAAGCAGAACAGAGTGTCATTTAAAATAGCAACTTCCTTCAGCATTTAAAGTACAGATGATTTCATCAACTTGCATTAAGGGACAAGGGAACGTGCACTTCAACAGGCCCTTGATTACGATTTTCACGGATGCTTGGCTGGGGTGCCTTTATTTTTTAAGTTTAAGAGGTCCCCAAGCCTCTCCCCCACCCCGAGGGACCACCATGGTGTCATTCACAGAGCAATGGCTGGCTCTCACTGACTACCCGTGGGGCCAGCACAAACACACTGTCCACAATTCCCACACGACTGAGAGCGAGCCTGCGTGGTCAGAAAGGCGCTCGGAGGGGGTGAATTTAACAGACACGCCAAGAGTAAGAGCAGAGTAGGGTGAGACCACCACAACCTTCTGCTCAGAGTGCGTCACAGTGCTAAATACTTTGTTTTTGTGTTTTGAGACAAAGTCTCGCGCTCTTGCCCAGGCTGGACTGCAGTGGCATGATCTCGGCTCACTGCAGCCTTGACCTCCTGGGCTCAAGTGATCCTGCTGCTGCCTCAGACTCCCAAGCGCCTCAGACCCCCAAGACCTAAGCCATCACACCTGGCTATTTTTTGTGGTTTTTGTAGAGACAGGGTTTCGCCATGTTGTCCAGGCCGGTCTCGAACTCCTAAGCTCAAGCAATCCACCTACTATGGCCTCCTAGTGTTGGAAATACATGCGTGAGCCACTGCACCCAGCTGAATACTTTTTTTTCAGAGCATAATGCTCAGAAGCCCATTTATGTGTCAAACCAAAATTGAGAAATAAGCTAGACCCTGGAGATGAAAACAAAAAGAGATCTGGGCGGAAAATGTCCAACATGAACCTGGAACAGATTCCATAGAGAAAGGAAACTACCCCACACCGCGAGGTCTCAGGAGCCAACCCACACAGGCTGCCGCTGGCCGTGGACGTGACAATTTGAGCATGCGGCACGGATTTCACTGTGATGGGTCAAAGCACAGCAAATATGTTTAAATCCATGAGTTCATTGTGACACTAAAAATCAATTTAAAAAACTCACTCTTGCCCTTTAGAGGGGAAACTGACTCGTTAACTCATTATTCTGAAAACCGGTAAACAAAGGCAAAGATTCCAAGCATCGATTCTGCATTTCCCAAAGGAACTGTGACCTCTACGGACCAAAAGAGCCGGTAATGGGCATTTCCTCTTGTATACGATTTCCAGCTAACAAGTGGAAAAAGAGGGGTAGAATCAGAACATTGCGTTTAGCAATCTTTGATGAGAAGAGTATCTAGGCTTCAATGGTGAAAGGCCACTGAGGTTCAGGAGGAGTAACACCTGCCTCCATGGACAAGCCCGCCCCTCACGGTCCCAAGTGTGGTGAGCCTGGACCTGATGGATGGGGATGTGAAGACAGAGACGCATGCTAAAGACACCGTGAATGGAGCTGGGTGTGGTGCACGGGCTTACAGTCCCAGCTACTCAGGAGGCTGAGACAGGAGGATTGCTTGAGCCCAGGAGCTTGAGGCTGCAGTGAGCTACAATCAAATTTTAAATTTGATTTGATTTTTAAAAATGTTTAAAGACACTGTGGTGACTCGAAAGCAATGTGAAGGCTGGGACACAGGATGGGCTGCGCAGAGTGGCTTTCTCAGGAAGGAAACCGAGGCTGGCTCCTAGAAGGGGAGGCTGAACGGACAGGTGACCAGCTGCAATGGACGGGAACAGCCTGGTTGCAACCCGAATCAGACTAAGCGTTTGATCTGAACAAGCTAAACAAACATCATCTACGAAAGGGTCAGTGAAATCTGTGAATGTATGACGACGTAAATTTTGGAGACGCGATTTCTGGTTATCTGCAGGACAAGCAGCCCTTTCTAGTAAGAGATACCCAGATGAAGAATGTGGTATCGGGTCTGCCTCAATGCCCCAGGAAGTGGCGGGCACTGTGGGCAGGACCAAACACCTGGCCTTGCACAAGCTGCAGTGGGTACAGGGCTCATGGCACAGCTGTCTCTGCTCACAGGTATGTTTGAGATTTTTTTCCATAATAAAAAGTTCAAAAACAAAAAATGAAAAGAGAGTGGTCCCCGGGTGAGCTGCTGGTGGACACCCAAAGATGGCGCTGCACGGTGGCAGCTACAGGACGGAAGCTCCAGGTGAGTCAGCCCTCAGCCATGCAGTGGGGCCAAGAGAGGCTCCCCACTCAAGCCGGGCTGTGTGGACACACAGGGGAGCCCAGGACGTACCTCGTGCTGCTTCTCAGAGACATTGAGTGAGTTCACAGCGAAGATCGCCTCCCGGGCGCCTATGTACAAGGTGTCCTGGTCCTCGCTCAGCAGCAAGGCTGAATAGTTGTAGATGTCCGGCTCGTGAAACTGCAAGAGATGCACCTCTGTGGGATGCAAGGGCAGGGTCAGAGTGGGAGGAAGAGAAGAGCAACGGAAGCATTTTTAAGCCTGGGCACATCCTGGGTCCCTGTCTCAGTGACAATGAGCACATCTGGGTGCAGTCATATCTCAAGGGCCGTGCGTTGCTGCAATAGGTATTGCTGCAATGGAGTTCGGCCTCAGTCAATGGCAGCCCCACAACGTGGCCAGCAAGTGTGAACACGGGACCCACTCACCGCCCTAAAGCTCGAGCCGGGAGCTGGTGTGCTCACTTTGAGGCTATGAGTCAGACGTCCCTTCTTGCTCCCTCGGATCCCACAGGGTCCCAAACCCTGTTCTGCCAGATGCTTCCTGTGACAGCTCCCACCCTCTGCCCACCGGGCTCTGGTCTGCATGCCTTTAGTCATCCACAGATTAGGTGTACAGAGAATATAATGATTTAGGATTTTCTCATTCAGGAAAAGAATGTTTTACTTCAAAATCTTTACAAAACTGATTTTGGAGAATATATCCATCAACATGCAATTCTTAGTGACCACCACCACAAACTTACAGACCAGAGAAACAAGTGACATCTCTCTGCTTATTAGGTTACTGTATCGACAGCTACTTAGGAATATGAAGACTTGAGCAATAACTGCTTAAGAAGAATATAAATGTATCAGCATTACATTTTTAGGACCTGTTTCTTCTTTTCAACTGTCCTGGCATCAACTTGAGCGTGATGACCTTGGTTTTTACATATTACCAAGAGTCTGCCTTATTTAAGAGTGAGGTGGTCCAGGTGTGGTGTTGGGTGCCTGTAACCCCAGCACTTTGGGAGGCCAAGGTGGGAGGATTTCTTGAGTCCAGGAGATCGAGGCTGCAGTAAGCTATGATTGTCCCACTGCACGCTAGCCTGGGCATTAGAGCCAGATCCTGACTTCAAGAAAACACAAAGAGAGTCAGGTGTTCACGCTTTCTGTTCTAAGTTTTCAGTGTGAAATGGAGATGTGCCCAGGCAGCAGGTTTTCTCCTGGCACAACGACAGCCTATAATGCTGACAGCTCTCAGCCACCTGCAAGCAACACCTTGCTCAAGACCCAGGGAGAGAGCTCTCAATTCACTGAGTCAGAAACCCAGGTCTCCAGACACATCCCTGAAGAGAAGAAATAACTAAAACAAAAACTAAATAGCAGCAAAGCAAAGCAGCTGGCATGAGGCTCAGCTGCACGCAGGACCAGCGTCCTCATGATGCCTCACGGTGCTCAGGCGCCTGGGGCAGACGCTCCGAGGGGCGGGTGCTTCAGCAGCACACCTCAAACATCACCAGGTATGAGGGAGGGAAGCTTCCTGTCAGGGGTCCCCAAATTCAGAAAACAAATCAGGAGGTCTGCACGAGGCCTGCTGAGTATCTACAGCAGTCACAGCCTCTTCTCAGATCAGCTGCGTAGGCCTGCCTGCTCAGACAGAAGTTCTCAGAGCACAGAATGCAACAGACCACATGCCAGCATCCTCAGTCATCTGCCTCAGCATCCCAGGCAGCAGGGTCGTCATCTCATCCTCAGGATCCCAGGAAGTAGAGTCCCTGTCCCATCTCCAGTCAACCACCTCAGCATCCCGGGCAGTGGGGTCCCCATCCATCCCCAGCTACCCGTCTCAACATCCCAGGAAGTGTGGTTCCCATCCTGTCCCCAGCCACTTGCCTCAGCATCTCAGGAAGTGGGGTCCCTGTCCTATCCCCAGCCACCCACCTCAGCACCCCAGGGAGTGAGGTCCCCGTCCCATGCTATCAGCACCCTTGCAGGCTTTATCGCTCACCTCTGTGCTCCCAGGTGATCCGGGGCATGGGTGCAAATGCCATCGCTGTCCCAAACACCAGTGCAAGGGCCGTGAGCAGCCCCCTAATGGGGGTGCGCATCTTCATCAGGTAGGGGCAGCCCCAGGGCCTCCAGCCACAAAGGCTCACGCAGCAAGTGGCCAGGCAAGTGTGCTATTGCGGATGCGACTCAGCGCCCCAGGACCAGGGCCAACAGCACAGCCTGGAGCTGGTGAGCAACGTGGTCCCTGAGAATCCACATTTCCCAGTTCTCCAGGTGAGGAGGGGCCGCTCTCACCACCGCAATGTCAAAGCCCCCTTGATACTTCTTTAGGGCCTCAAGAAATGCTGGAAGGAAATGAGAAAGAACAGTCAGGACCCATGGTGGGCGACGACCTGCTTCTCACTGCCCTACAGCCCCTCTGCCTGCCCTGGGTCCCCACCTGGGTCCATCTGCTGAGGAACAGGGAGGGTGGCGGGGGAAAAGAGGGTCTTAGAAGTGGACAGCCTACATGGACACAGGAAGGCGAGGTCAGGTCTTCAGGACCCAGTGCTTCCCACTCCTCCAGCTCCCAGCCCAGAATGCAGGACAGACACATGGAGGGGTCCTAAGCGCGGTGTGGGGCACCTGGCAGACACACATGGCCGCTGGCTGCCCAGCTTCCTTCCTGTGCGGCTGCTGTGTCCAGCTGGTAATGAGATGAAAATGAAGGAACTCGGGTTTCAGTTTCCCTTAGAGACTCTGCCTTTGTAATGCTCAGTAAGAAAACAGCCAGAAAAACGAGAGGCTGCAGAGAGAGCTAAGATGTACATGTGAGTGCACACACATGCATAGATGTTACACCATACAAACACACACGTGAGGCCTCACCATGCAGGAGTGTCTGACCTCTGCCCCAAATGGGACCCTGCTAGCTCTTCTGGTCTTACCTAAAGAAGTCTGTGCCTCACAGAAACGACGGTGACTCACTCTGGTTTGCCCAGTAAGAAGCAGCCCTTAGTAAAACAACAGGCTTAATGCTGCTGAGTGAAACTGTGGGGCTGGCAGTGGGGGAGGTGTGCACAGGCCTTCCGGCCCCATCTCTCATGTCCCCAGCATCCTCTCATGACTGCATGGCTACTGTCCTGGTGTGCCTTTGCTGGGCCCCACAGTCTAACCCGCCACAGGACTGGCCCAAGGGGCTCTAGCACCTTGATCTGGGGCCAGCTGCCCCAGGTTCACTCTGTGAGAATGTCCTGAGCTGGGCACCCAGTGATTGGGCACTTTAACATTATACTTCTGTAAAAAGCTCACTGAAAACAGCAACCTGGGATCCCCGAGTCCCTTGCTCCCGCTTCTATCCAAGAGTCCTATGGGGGTCACGGAACAACCACACCCCTGAGCTCCAGACTCGAGAACCCCACTTCACCCCACCACCTCCACAAGCCACCTTCACACCCCAGCCAGACACAGCTGAAACGGAACCTCACTCTGCTTCCAGACAATTCCTACAGTCCACGTCCCCCACCTAAAAACAGCGCCAGCAGTCAGAGGCCGACGCCATCTACCTCTAACCCCAACCCCATTCCGTAGATGGTGCTGCTGCTCAGCCTCAAATACGTCTGGGGCTTGTCTCCTATCCATCTCCACCATCACTCAGATCTGAGCAATGCTCACCTCTCATCCTGGCCTCTCCTACAGCCTCCTACTCCCTTACTTTGCTTCTGCTCTTGCTTCCGTGGTAGAGATCACTGGCTTCCTGCCCCAGCAACCATGTTCCTGCATTCTCACTAACAAAATCCCAAGGTTACTTGGGTTGGCAGTGTGCCCAGCTCACTACATCTCCCAGCTTCTCTGGTGGCAGTTCTGGCCAAAGAATTGTAAGTGGAATTTATTAGATGGCAATTCCAGGAAAGCTCTTTAAAGGAGGCTGATGCAGCTAGCAATTCCCTCTGTCCTTCCTCCTATTGCTGCCTGGAACTAGAATTTGATGGCTGGAGCTCTGGCAGCCATCCTGTGACCAAGAAGATGAGTCTCATTCTAAGAATGGCCAAGTGGAAACCCACAAGAGCCTGTGAGACCCTGATAACATAATGGAGACTTTGTACTTGCTTTCTGCTATTTGGTAGCAAGTCTATTAAGTCCCAGCCCAGTGAAACCCAATGAACTGATATTGGCTCTATTCAGACTTGCTAATAAAAGCATTAATCTCTTTAAATTACTTGTTTGCAGATTTTTGTTACCAACAAATATCATTCCAAACTAACACAATCTCCCTCCAATCCACTGCTAATGCTGTTATCATAAATCAGGTCATATCATTTCCCCATGTGAAATGTTTCAACACCTTCTCATCACTCAGAATAAGGCCCACATTTTTCATCATGGCCAGCAAGGCCATGGACAACCCTACTCCATCTCCATCCACCTCTCCTCGTCCATGCTCCCCCCACTGCACTGTCCTGGCTGCACCTGAACACACAGGGCTCGGCCCCTCCGCGAGGCTGTGTGACGGCTGTCTCTGCCGACATTTCCAGATGTGTCTGTTCTGAAGTCGCCGGTCTAAATCCCACCGCACAGTCTCATTCATCTTTCTAAGAGGCTTTTCCTCTGTATGACTGATCGGTAGTTAGCAATGGCTCCCAAAAGTTGCTCTGCTTTGAGCTCCCAAACCATTAATGCTTTCTACACAGGCTCCCACTGAAGAAAACTCAAGAAATTATAGGTTCGGGTCTTCTGAATTACAGGCACAATTGCGGTTCCTTGAGGTAATGGTGTCACTTTTTGTCTGTAAAACAGAAGAACCAACTGGCCTGTGAAGTTGTTCTGAGAATTATCTGCCAAATGATTATTTAGCAGATAATCATATTAATATATAATGAATCAATTAGCATCTGCTAACAATAACGTTTATTGCTCTGACAAATACGAATGGAACTCCTGCTCTAACAAAGCAGCCCTGGCCCTGAACCCACACCCTGGCGTAGAGCTGCATGGAAGCAACCAGCCCGGGGTCTGGCACCCAGAAACATCCCACAGCCCTGCAGGGTCCTACTGCCCTTGCTCTTCTTGGTTCTCATAGATGCAGTGACAGACATAGGAAAGGATGGTAACAGTGGTGACAAGCTATAAGCAGTCCCTCAAGAGAAAAGCTCCCATTAAAAACTGTCTACCACTCCTTTTGGACCAATGGTCTCCTGGCATTTTAGGTGTGTGTTCTTTCTCCCCTTCCATGTGACAGACATCATACCGCCAGTGAGAGCCAGAAGTGACAATGTGCCCACCCTGCCCCAGCCCTTCCAGCAGAAGAAAACTGCACACTCAAACAGTGGGAGACATGCTGGCTCCCACACCACCAGAGGAGGAAGAGGAGGAGGAGGAGGCTGGCCTGCAGCAGGCAGGGCCTCAGAGAGGGTTCTAGTCATGCATGCAGCAAGGACACCAGTGGCCTGGTCCAAGTGCTGCAGTCACAGTGCAGTGAAGCCCAATGAACTGACATTGGCTCCTCCAAGGCACACCCGGCCCCAGGTCCCAGCCAAAGCCAAGCCATCCACAGCAAGGACACAGCAGAAGCAACCCCCCCAGGGCGTGTCCCCCAGATGGGCAAAGGTCCACCGACGCTAAAGAAACGGCGATGAGCTGCCATGGATGGGAGAAGGTGCTCTGAAGACAGATGCAGAGCCTGCAAAGATAAAACCTGCAGCCACACAGGAAGTGAGTGATGGCAGCCAAGGGGCAGGCGAGTGGACACACAAACCGCTACATACAGACAGGGAATGTTACTCGGCATGAAAAATAAATGAGCTGTTAAGCCACAAAAAGTTCCTCCCTGGAGGAACTTTAAAAGCTTATCATTAAAGTGAAAGAAGCCAGTCTCTAGAAGTACATACTGCATGATTCCGCCTATAGGACACACTGGGAAAGGCAAAACCATGAAGACAGTAGAGAGATCAGTGGTTCCCAGGGGCTGTGTGGAGAGAGGGATGAGGAAGTGGAATACAGCATTTTCAGGGCAGGGAAACTACTCTGGCAAGGATACTACCATGGTGGACACATGTCAGTTCTGCATTTGTCCAAGCCTACAGAACATACACCACCAACTGGCGATCCTAATGTCCGGTACTGGTATGGGGTGATGCGGCACCTGTGCAGGTTCACTGACTGCAGCAAAGGCGCCGCTCTTGAGGGGGCTGTGCATGTGTGGGGAAGGCGCATATGGGAAACCTCTGCACGTTCTTCTCAATTTTTCTAAGAACCTAAAACTGCTCTGAAAAATAAAGTCTATTAAAATCAGTAACAACAAGGAATAGTCTAGGAGTTCCTTGCCAGTTACAAAAGGAGCCTCTGTGAGGGTTCATGGCATGGACACATGAAGGAGGTGAATGCCCACACCAGGGGCTGGGAGCAGAGACGCAAGGCCTACAGGGCCCGGTTCATTTAGGGTCAAATACCAAAGATGCTGGGTCCCTGTTGGAGGGATATGGTTTGCAGAGGATCTAATTCTTACCGAGGTCCCCAACTGCAGTTAGTCCTCTTGGCGTCCCAATAAGCAGGCTGCGGTCAGCCCAGGCTGAGTCCAGAGCCAGGAGAGGATTTCTCTCTTTGGAAACTGGTGTCTAGAACACAGATTTATCTCAACTCTCTCTGGAAACCCAGTGAAATGACTCTAAAAGGATATGAACTTTAAGGGTAAAAATGGAAGAAGGAGGTGACTTGGGAATCTATTCATAGGTAAGTATTAACCAATGGTGTGCTGGCAAGCAGTAACAACAGGGTGGGCGGTGGGGGTGGGGGTGCCCAGCTTGCAGCACACACCGATTTCCATGGTGTAAATGCTGCATTCAAGCTCCCAGCATGATGCTGCTGAGCTGGGGCGAGGTGCAGAGCAGCACCCAGCACACGGTACTGCCACTCGGATACAAGAGGCGAGTAACCACAGCCACACAGATAACAGCAGCATGCACACAATACTAGAAGGGAATGCGTTCTGAGCACTTTACCTTTTAAAATACAATTTGTTTCACTTGAAGTCCATGTATTTAATTTCTAACAGTGGCTGTGCTGACCACCAGCTCTCTCACACACCACCGGTGCTGTTTTGATTTTCAGACCAGAGTTGAGCCAGGGCCTGGAAGAAGTCACAAAGAAACACCATCTGGAAAATGGAAGTAAGAGCTTACAAGTGAAAATGTGATGAAAGAAATGAAAGACTGGAAAGTAAACTAACGAGGTTTTCTAGAAGTTAAATATGTAGCAGCGATGAAAAAACGGTGAACAGACAACTGGAGGACCCATTGAGGAGTCCCACACGGAACTGGCAGGAACTCCGCACAAAACAAGAGGAATAAAGCAGTAATAAAAAGAAAATACCTAGAACAGAAGGACCTGAGCTTTCAGAACGACAGCGCCCAGGAGCACAGTGAATGAAAACCCGCCCACACCAGACACATCATACAGAAATATGAGAATCCTAAGAGATCAAAGGAAGACATGAGGCTCCCAGAAGGAAACAGGCCACAATGAAATTACCTCTGAGTGCCCCACTGGAGGCTGCAAAGCAATGCCTTTGAATCCCAGGGAAGATGACTTCATACCTAGAATTCCTCATCCAGTCAAATTTTCAACCAGCATGAGTATGTGCAGAACACTGCTTCAAACCTACATGTTCTCAAATGTCTTACCTCCCTCAGATTCTTTTTCAGAAAGCTACCGCAGGATTTGCTCCACCAAAACAAGGGAGCTGCTTCCCAGGTCTTCTTTCTTAGAAAGTGAGTCGAGGGGAGGCAGAGAAAGCAGGGGCTGGGGAGCAGGCAGAGGCTCCAATGGGGCGGAGCAGGAGAAGCCAGGATGGGTTACTGATTGCATCTGTGGCTTTGTTCTCAGAAATGCATTTTAAGGCTCTTACAAAGAGTCTGAAGATGAATTAGAACAGATACACAGATGAGAAAATGAAGCAGTTATTAACCCCAGGGGGAGCAAGAGTGACCTATGAATGGAAATGTAACCAGAGTGTACTTACCACTGTGCAGTTGCACAGCCCCCATAAGAAAAATTGCAACTAACTCCGTTGGGGGTCTGGGGGGAAAAGAGGGGAAGGGGAGGGGACAAGAGTCAGAGAACACAATCCTGTCTTCCATCATAATACACCATCTAAGATGGAAAAGTCAAGAAATGTAGGTGTATCTAGTTTGAAGAAATATACCAAATGGCTAAAATAGTTGAAACTCACTGTCTCAGGGCAGCAGGGAAGGGACAAAGGGACAGACAAGCAAGTGCTGCTTCTCTCAAGTTAAATAAGAACCATTTCACTTTATTATTACATGCATTAATTACTTTCATAAAATGAATTAACCTTAAAGAGACATCCATGTTCTGGTTCCTTGCAGCCTGGGGATAGCAGCCCAGTGGATCCAGAAGCAGAAGACAGAAACCCCTGAAGGTAGGCTCCCAAGGACGGGAAGAGTGAGCTGCCTCTATGCAGAGCCTGGGTCCCGAGAGTGGCCACATTTGGGGGCTCAAACACGTTGTAAAAATAGGATTATTGTTCCCCACAAAGCCGAGTGCTGGGCAGTGGCACCGGATTTAATGCAGAATGCCGGCTCCTAGTGTGGCCAGTGCCCCCACTCCACCCCACCCCTCCCAGGCTGCCTCGCAGCCTTGGTGCCTGCTGTTCCCCCTTCCAGACTGTTCTTCCCCCAGGAGCTGCTGGCGGCTGGCTCCATCCCACAGTCACTTCTCCTCCCCTGACCCCCACACTCCCCACCCCGCCTTGCTCTACTGTTTTCACAGCACTTGGCCTAAGGACCTGAAAATGCCTCCCTGACTTAGCTGGGGCAGAGCAGGAGACACACAAACATCCCAGTGAGAAGACCGGGGCCAGACCTGGAGGGGACGAAGGAAAGCTGCCAAGAGCCGAAAGTCCCACAAAACAAAATTGCCAGTGAAGAGACATTTAAAACAAATCTTGCCATAGTATCCACAACCAAACCCAGGGATGGCTAAGCCATTCCTGAACGAATGAATGTGCCCGAGAGAAGGTTTTCCAGAAACGTCAGCAGGTGCCCCAGTGGAAGCCAGCAGGTTCTGTCTCCTGGGTGGCTTTAAACAGTTACAAAGGACTGTTAGGACTGGGGTCATTTATGTGGTTACTCAAACTGGTTATGTTGGAAGGAAAAAACCTTTTTCTTTTCCAGGCGCTGCCATGTAGGCGCTCAGCAGGGCATGGACACACCCACCTGGCTCCCAGAAGCTGCCCTGACAACAATGACTGACACCAGGCTCCCTGGCATGGATTTCTATCCAGGTCTGCAGCGTATTGACCTCATCAACAGACACCAGATTCTCAAGGGCCTAGATCAGACCCAGCTGCTTTTCTCAAATGGCCTTTAAAACAATCCACATGAGTAGCCAAAGGTCAGGATAGAAGGTCCACACCACACACTCCTCCTCCTGGGGAGGGGGAGGGGCTGAGCATTTTCTTTGTGACATTGGAGGGGTTTGATTTTTTTCCTTTTTCAGCAAAATGCATTGTTTCATATAATTTAGAAACTGCTTTAAGCAAAGCACACACCACACTCACACAGATCTGCCAGCCCCGCGAGTTCTTTCACAACAGTGGCTCCATAATCACTGATGGGTGTTACATTAAAGACCTCACTCTAAATTGTTAAATTAAAACAAAAAGAGAAAAAGCCCATTTTGCTGGCTTTCTTCACCATTTCTGAGAAGCAATGGCATCCTGCTGGGAGCTGAGCCGTATGCATGTGCATTTTGCCCTGACAGTGTGAAATTGCTGCCCTTCCCATTCAGAAAGAACGACTTGACACAGAAGCCCATTAGAAAGACAGGGTTATGAAATGTCACTCCCATTACTTACATGTAATTGGGGCTGTTCATGAGGGTGCACGAGCCCACTTTAAATGTCAGCAGAATGGAACTCCGAGGGGGCTCTGAGCCCCACACTCCTGCCTGTCTGTACTTGTCAGATGGCAGCTCTCCCACCCCCAGGGGACTTCAAATCAAGGGAGGAGGTCACAGCAGAGAAAATGGGAGTACCCAGCAACCACTGTGCATATGTCTGTGTGGGTGTACATATATGGGGATGTTTATACATCTGTGTGTATGCATCTGTTCATGTGCATGCATGTGCATCTGTATTTCTGCATGTGTGTACGTGAACACACAGAGATATGTGCACCTATCCATGTTTGTAATTTGTATACATCTGTACAGTTGTGTTATCTACATGTGTATGTCTGCGTGTCTGCACATGCATACATATACACATCTGTGTATGTGCATCTGCATCTGCTTGAATCTCTGCATGTGTACATACACATGCATGTGCGGACATACACATGTACACCTGTGTGTGCATGTGCATCTGCTTGATCTCTGCATATGTACACATATGTGTAGCACTGGCATCTGTGTATGTGGGTGCATAATGTATGTGTGCACCTGTGCATGTTTGTGTACACATATCTGTATGTTTATGCATACACATGTGTGTATGTGTGCACAGCAATATGCACACATACATGCATCTGTGTATGCAGACATGTATGTGTGCATCTGTGCATGTGTCACCATTGCAGCACACACATTCTGACCTAATGTTGCATCTTAGATGTGAATAGTGACTGCTGCCAAGTGCCCTGTAAGGCAAAAAACATGGACCAAAAAGCCGTCTGGGGACTGTCCAACCACCCATGTCTCGGCTCCTTCCTGGGATCAGCTGTCTGGCAGCTAGGGTGGATTACAGAAGGGACACCCGTCACTACCACACAGAAGGTGTCAGTGCTTCTGCCAGCAACAGGATGTAACACTGGCATTAAAATGCCCTGGCTGGTGTCCCAGGGAAACTGAAAAAGGATCTCTAGTGACAGCTGTGGACTGGCCAATCTAACATAGGCAGTCATTACCTGGACCCCTGAGCTCACTGAAAACACTGCTGGGGAGGCATGTTCTGGCTTATTTCTTATCTCAGGGGTTTGCCCAGATAGGGCAGGTAAAGCTTAGAGCCTCTCCAGGCCCTGCAACGAGGACAGTGGAGGACAAGCACTTACCACATCTTCCCCCCCAGCTGGAAGCAGGCAGCCAAGTGCTAAGGAACAGAAGACACCACTGCCCTCCCCAACCATGCCCTGCCAGTGCCTAGCCACCTAGCATCCCTACCTTGGGACATCCTCTGCCCCCAGAAACCCCTCTCCCACCTCCAGTTAGGGTGCTGATGTCACCACCTTGCAAACTGAGGATAAAAATGGCCTTATCCCATTAGGAATCAGGAATGGGTTTCAGGACCTGTTCAGGTCACGAGCATAACAAACAGCTTATTGTTCCAACTTCAGTTTTCCTAGAATTTAAAGTGGATCCCTGGAGACCAGCGCTTCAGCTCTGCAGGGACATGCTTAGCCCTGGACCTGTGTTGGACTGGACACACCCAGCAGGGCAGCTGCCAGGTCCGGTCCACTTCATCCTCAAGCCACATCCCTGCAGGGGCAAGCAAGCCACAGCCAGAATGTCTCAGACATGCTCTAACCTCACCTACTTCCCAAAGCCCTGGGTGCAGCATGTACAGAACGGGAAACCCAGGAAGAGAGGGCGGTGGGAGTGAAGGACACACCTATCAGCAATGACGGCAGGGCAAGTGCTATGAGGATGCATACCGAGTGGCAGCAGGAAGAGGGCCCTTCAGAGGAAGAGTGGGGACCCCTCTAAGCAGCAGTCGCCATGGCAGAGATGCAGACTGTCATGCCACTTGTGCAACATCACTCTACTCTTCTGACTTGGATACAGACAATACTGTCTTCTCTGGAGGGTGTGTGGTGTGCGCATGCGTCCTTGGGCCCAAACAGGTTAGCGCTAGCAAAAATAAAATCATCATCTTCCACTGACCTAATGTTGACCTGTTGCCACCTCCAGGGGAGCCAACCATCTCCCTACTGGACCTGGCTCCAGGGGAAACTGTGGGGTTGTACTGGGAAGTGGTTGTCCAGCCCCTCAGGGAGGACTGTGTTCACCCTCCAGCACCAAAGGGATGCCTGGGGTCATGTCTTTCAAAGGTGATACTATGGTCTGAATGTCTGTATTACCCCTAAATTCAGATGTTGAAATCCTAACCATCAATGTGATGGTTTCTGGAGAGGGGGCCTTTGGGAGGTGACTGGGTCAGGAGGGCGGAGTCTTCATGAATGGGATTAGTGTCCCATCAGTGTACACTCTGAGTCCCAGAGAGCCCCCCTCGCCCCTCAACCATGTGAGAAGATGCTGTCTATAAACCAGGAGGAGGGCCTTCACCAGACACCAAATCTGCTAGCACCTTGATCTTGGACTTCCGAGCCTCCAGAATGGAGAAATAAATGTCTGTTTTTATGTCACCCAGTCTATGACATTTTCTTTGTGCAGCCTGAGCTGACTGAGACAGTGACAGTTCAGGGGCCACTGGCACCCAGCAGAGCTCAGCACCAGATATAACACAGCCGGAAGAGATGCTTCAGAATGCCAAAGGTCACCATTTACACTGCTGGAGCCTTTGATATGACACTAAAACTGGTGCTTTAGTCCCCAGAGCTTGGCCTGCAAGGAGGGCAAAATTACATAAAAGTTACTATATAGAAGGGTTTTGCTTTAAGTGGACTTTATTTGTATTCTTAATTTTCCACCTATCTTATAAAACTTTCCTACCTTCAGAAATACCTCCGCCAGGCACGGTGGCTCATGTCTGTAATCCCAGCACTTTGGGAGGCCGAGGTGGGCGAATCACAAGGTCGAGTTTGAGACCAGCCTGGCCAACATGGTGAAACCCCGTCTCTACTAAAAATACCAAAAATTAGCTGGGCATGGTGGTGGGCACCTGTAATCCCAGCTACTTGGAAGGATGAGGCAAGAGAATCGCTTGTACCTGTGAGGCGGAGGTTGCAGTGAGCTGAGATCATGCCATTGCACTCCAGCCTGGGAGACAGTGCAAGACTCTGTCTCAAATACATAAACAAATAAATAAATAAAAATAAAATAAAATATAACTCCAAGGGTGCTTAACTCCACAAAACAAATGTAAATTAAAATAAAATACCCATTTATTGTCCACAAAGCAGGCTGAAATTTCAAAGTCTGCTGCTAGCCAGTGCTGGGAAGGTGTGGGGTTAAGGACTTCTGGGGGCAATTCTGAGCTATCCAGATGTCTGCACACACTGACCCCCTGGCAAATCCTGGGCAGCAATCCTGTGGACAAACTCTGTGTGCACAGCTGCAGGCCTGCAAAACGACGTGTGGGAGGACCACCCTGCCACGCTGTGACAGTAACATGTGCAACCAGAGGGGATGCTCCTCAATGAGGGGCTGCTTAGCAGGCAGGCCAGGAAGACAACACCGTTCCAGAGACTAACGCCGGTCCACACAGACTGCCTGTGAGCGTAGCACACACCAAAGACAGGTGCAGAGCAACAACACCCCAGGCACAACCCACCTCTGTCAACAGAGGATGCATCAGTGTACACACAAATAACACACACACAGCCATGGACACACATAAACATGCACAAACATCAGACACAGAGTCACAAGAACACACACGAGAACACACAGATGCATACACATGAACGTGGACAGCCAACTGTTAACAGTGGTCACTTCTAAGGAGGAGGAGGAGGAGAACAGCCAGGAAACTCAATTTTTCTTTGTTTTTTAAAAAATGAATCACACTTTTTTATCGCTTCTGTAAAAAGAATTTAATCCATTAAGAGACTATGTTTCATCCATGCTATACTTGTCAGTAGACCAATAATTGAAACCTGCCACATTAATGTGTGGAGCTGTGTGTAATGCAATTTTTCACAGGCTAATCCATTTCTTGGCTTGGGTGACTATTTCTTGCCATACCTTTGACCCTTTTTAATTTACATAAAAAATGAGAAGTGGCTTCTTTTCCCCATATATACTTCATGGTTTTTGTGACAGCAAAGTAAAAATTAACAGAAGGAGCCAGTCCCCCTGGGCTCTCACACTGGAACTCTATTACTACTTAATACAGCACAGAGTAGATAAAATTGTCCCTACTTTCAATTACCTTATAGCTAAAGATTCCAAAATGTTTTTTAATGAAGAGATTAACAAAAAGCAAAACTCAAAGACAAGTGACTTAAGGAAGGAAAAAAACTAACAAAAAATACTTGTAACACAAGTGTCAATTCCTAATAAATAAAGTGATCTAACAAATGTAAGAAAACAGAGCTCCCATCCCAACGGACCAGATAATACATCTAGCCAGTAAGCACAGACAGAGCTGTCACCCTAGCAGAAACGCTGTGCTAATTAAAGCCGCCCTATCTAACTGGCAAGATGTGTTCTCATCACGGTCCCAGGCATAGGAACCATGACCGTCTACGCTGGCAGCAGGACTCTTTAAAAGCCAGCAGAATCAAAAGCCTTGTGGGGCCCATTCATCATACTTGAGTAATATGAAAACGATGAAGAAAATGGGGGTTTCACTTTTGTTTTTACAAATTAAGCTGGTTATTTCTCTCTCCTTTGAAAGTGAAAATGCCTGGCTTGGAATGGACCCAAATCAAGATTAATCACAAAAATGGCCCAAATCTGAGGAGGGTGACCTGGAGAGCCCTCTCATTACACCACACCTTACCAACCACCTCCCTGCACCTTCCAAAAGAAGAAAGCAAGCTTTCTGGTGTGGACGCCAGGGGCCATCAGCCACAGAGCTGCCATAAGCCCAAGACCCAGCAGGAGGAGAAGCCGAGAGAGCAGGGAAGGATATGGGGAGCAGGAGCAGGGACAAGCAGTGGGAGGGCAGGAACAGAGACAGGCCATCCCTGCCGGTGCCCAGCCCCCACCTCCCCACTGCTGAGCCCAAGGGACGGCAGCCAAGTCTGAAGCTTTGCCCCATGGGATACACAGGGACTAAGAGACCAAGCAACCAACCACCTGCCAGACCCAACTGAGGCCTCTACACGTTATCAACTCTGCTCAACTGAAATTACAAATCATGAATAAAGTGGCTTTACCTGTATCTTACGCCTCTTGAAATTTTCCAGTCACTTCTAGAAAGACGTCTTCAGGAATCTTTGCTGTGGAAATAATAGGAAATAAGGCTGTTTAAGCCCTTAAACTGTCCATCCACTTAAACTCAGCAACGTTCCTGGAAATGCACTGAAAACAAATTATTGTGAGTTTTCTAAAACTTCTAGACTTCCTTAAACCCAGGATCTGCCTGGCTTGTACGTGCTGGGGAAGACAGCGCTGGGGCAGACAGGAGGGAGGGGCTGTGCAATCACCCACCCACAAACAGAGGGGAAGTGCAGCCCAGCCCATCACCCGGTGCTGGAGATGAGCCCCAGGACCCGACCAGGTGCATTTTCTTGCACAATAAGTCATTTCAGTTAGCAGAGCCCGTGAAACAAAAACCACCATCTAATTGCCTATTAGCTCCAGATATTTATCCTTTAATATTTATCTTCATAAAGCAAACAAGGAAAAAGCAGAAACACATGTAGCATAATTACAAGAACCAAAGAGCTCTTCATCTTCCTTTATTTTTGGATAGTTGGTTTTCAGCCAAACAGAAGGATGTCCACTGTGGTATGGCAAGATTTTCATAGTGTGGCTGTCACTCCTCTGTAGTGTGGGAGAGCAGCCTCAAGATAGGGACTGCAGGGTGCAGTAACAGCACCAACAATTAGATCAAGAGAATCAGAATCACAAAACCAGAGCCATGTGCAGGACTACAGACATTCAGGAGCCGACCCTGATCCCTCCATGATTCTATTAATACAGGAGCGACATAATTGTTAAACCTCAGAATCAGACTCCAGCATATTCCGTGGTGCAGAGGGTTTCTTTTTTGTTGTTTTCCTTTTGCTTTCAGAGCTTATAAGACCATGGCTTTTTTTTTTGAAGCCAGCTGGGAAGGAGGCGGCTCTCCCTGGAAACCCAGGTTTAAAGCCCCCATCCCTCCCACCCAGGCCCCTCACCGGACAGCTTCCTCCTCTACAGATGCCCTGCACACGCCTCTCCAGGGAGCAGGACCTTAAACACGGCCATTCAGGCACACAACGTCCAGTCCCCTAACCCCTGGGAGCCGACACATCCTCTGAACCCGGAGCAGGCACCTGGAGTTAGCAAAGGAGCCACCAGGACAGGGATCAGAAACAATCACAATTCATCAGGCCCCACCACAGCGAAGCTTCCAGAGGCTGATTCTAGGGTCTTCTCTCCAGCAGCGGATAGCTCTTACAGCCAATTTTATAAGCAAAAGTATGTTCACAGGAGCGGCTATGAGAATCCTGGAAAAGGCCGCATCTATCCAGGACCTAACACCGATATTTCCTGTTGAAACTCCCAGGGCAGGGCTGGGCATTTGGACACAACTGCTGGACAAGCAAAGAGGGAACCCCACACTGCTGTGGGCACCTGCAAAGTGTCATATCACTTGTTCCCACGAGGCTTTCCTGTCACACAGGAGAGAGAGGGGACAGTGGCTACCTGAGGACTGTGCCAGAAACAGTTCAAGGCAAAAAAAAAAGGCAGGGATTTATACATAAATAAGAGGTTTAGGTAAATAATGTGAACATCAAGGATTTTAAAATGAAAAGCTTCTATTTTCTAGAAATGAAATAAGTCTTTTTCACTTGAATAAAAAAGACTCAGAACTGCTCCTCCTGTGGTTTATGACACGTATCATATTCATGGTAATTTTATAGCGTCCAACAACAAATGTCAGCAGGTCTGGGGTCTAATCTCAACAGCCTCCAACAACTCCACCTGAACACTGGCATCCCTGTGCCCTGCTTCCCAGCTGGGGTTCATAGCTAGCCTCCAAAAACAGCTGCCAGCCCCAAGATTCCTAAATGGGAACATCCTTCCTTCCTTAGTGAACTGCCCATACCCCGGCCCCACATTGCTTTCACTCTACACGAACACAGTTTGCTGCTTCTTCCTCAGCATGAAACCCCCCAGTTATTAGTTACCCTGCTGAAGAATGCAAACTCACACTTCTCATGTAATTACTCATCCTGCTGTTTCAATTCGCACCTCCACACTCCTGACAGCACAGGTAAAAAGAATCCAATGGCCCATTCACCAAAAAGCGATAAAATTAATCAGAAGAGAGAAAAGCATTTCCCTCTCATGGCCTTCACACCCTCTCTTGGTGCACCCCCAATACTGAAGGAGAGTGTGGGGCTCCAACACCCAGCTATTTAGTGGCCGCTGATGGCAGCAGCCAGAGAGCCACAGGTAGCGCCTTCATCTGGCCTCCATCCTGCAGACATGACCTCGCCTTCCGGGCGTCCTCCCTAAGCCGGGACCAGGTGTTCTTCAGCACACAGACAAGACACAGGTGGGTTGAAGCAAGAGCAAGGGGCTCTACAATCAGAGGAAGCTGGGTTCCAGTCCTACCTTCCCCAAGCTGTATGTTCCTGGGGGAAGTTACTGAGCCTCTCTGAGCCTCTGTTTCCTCACAAAAAAGTGGGCATACTAATAGTGGCTGTCTCATTTAGGTGTTATAAGGATCCATTATTAATCATAGTTAATGCTTCCTGTGCTTTCCTAGGTGTCTGATGCTGTTTAAGCACTAAGAAGCTTTAACTATCATTCTTACCACCTGTGAAATGAAGCCAGTTACTCATGCCCAGCAAAGACCGAGAGATACAGTAAGCAGGGTACAGCTGTTCGCACATCAAACGTCCCCTACTGCCAGGGACTGGGGGCTCCACCAGCCTCCTCCTGCACACACAAGGGATCAGGGCTTGCTCAGGTCCAAAGATGCCCGCATGGACTCCTGGGAGCAGAGCTTAGGAACACTGACAGGCAGCACTGCTGTGGCTGTGGACAGGGAGGGGGGTGTGAGCCTCTTCTGCTCAATCTCTTCATCCTGGTCCAGAAGCAGGTAAGGAAGTTCCGGGGGCAAAGAGCAATGGGGGACCCTCCACTGAAATTGTTAATCCAGCACACACCCCGACTGAGTGGGCATGCATATTACAACACAATGCCACTACACTCTGCTGAGCAGGGCAGCTGATTAAGGCTGGCTACAAAGTGCACAGGGAGGGCCTGGAGGACATGTTCCCATGCCCTGTGGGCCAACATCTCCCAAAAAGCTATTTCCAGAACCTCTGACCCTGCAGTTCTCTACCAAGAATGCAATGTGGATATACCCCATGTGTGCGAGATGACTGGTACAAGGCTATTCAACAGGTAAACTCCAAAGACACCCAGAAGTCCATCAGTGTGTGTGTGTGTGTGTGTGTGTGTGTGTGTGTGTGTGTGTACATGGGTGCACACAGATATAGCACAGAACTTTTTGTATACAAATTATGGTACATTCCAGAGGATGGAACATTATGCAACTGTTAAAAAGCATAACGCTGCAATTGTATGTAAGGGCACTCCAGATCCACTGATCAGTAAAACTAGGGTTCCCAAAAACGTGTGTGGTATGTTCCCATCTGTGCAGGCACACGGTGTATGGCCATGTGTGCGTGTGTGAATGGGTGTACACACAGGTTCATCGGAAGGATAATTCCAAAGATCACAATTTAATCAAGAACCTGCTGGCAGGGGATGCCTATGAAGAGAATTTGATCTGTGAAAGGAGTGTGCTTTATTTTTCACGATTTGGATTCTTTAGAACTATTCAAATTCTTTCCTTAAGCACGTGGCTTCTAACTAAAATATTTTAAGTCTGATATCAAAAGTAAAATACAGTTAACTATAGAAAATTTGAAAAATTCAAGAAAGGCAAGAGAACACATTCCTACGTATCTCTAAAAAGGTTATACAGGTTGTAACACTGATTAAAATAAGACCCCAGCACGGTGTCTTCTGTACTAACTTTAAGAGGAAGATTTCACCAGAATGGAAATTTTCAAGAACATCAGACAGACATGACATACGTTTCTGGTCTGACTGGCATTTTGTTGGAATTCCTCATTCTAAGAAACTCTGACTCATTTATTCAGCACTCACTTCTGGAGGGCGTGGGGTGAAGGTGTGAGTCAGACGAAGACTGTTGACTCCCAGTCCCTGGTCTTTGGCTTGGGGAGGGCAGGCCACAGCAACCGCACAGGTGGGCAGGTGTTGCAGGGGCCTGCTGGCTCTGTAACATAGAAGGTGGGACCTGAAGTCCAAGAAACGGGCTGGAGCCTGCGGGCTGCTGGAGGGGGAGAGCCCATGTGCGTCGCATCCTGGTCCTGTGTATTTCTGCCCCACCACACGTGCGCACCCCCGCGCTGTTTCTTATATGGTGCCCTCAGTAGCCTGTCCCGGCTGTGCAGTATTACATAATCAAATATGATAATGTGAGACATTCATATCCTTTCCAATTGTAATTCCACTTACAATTCATTTTTCTTTAACCACCAGCATTACCTGGACAAGAACCTTTTCTGTCGGGAACATTCACGGTGATGTTACAGAAGTCTGGGCACCACACAGAGGGTACTGGGAGATGGTCTCAGGGGAGATCCTGTGGCTCCATCATGTCTGTCTGCTGTTGATGAAATTTCCATCTTGATGAAACCTCTTAGTAACGTTAGTACAGAAGACACAAGTGCTGGGATCTTACTTTAATAGTCGTTATAACCTGTATAACCTTTTTAGAGACTGCCAGCAATGTGTTATTGTCTTGCCTTTCTTGAACAGAGGTTCAGGGCTTCTACTGATCACACTGACAGGTTTGCTTCCTTTGTACCGGGAAGGGAAAGAATCACACATAATTTGAATGATTTATTTTCATTTGACTCTCTTCTAAAATTTCCAGTCAGTTGAGCTGAAATCATTTTTGCAAAGTAATACAGTCTTTGCTATAAAACACAAGTCACCTAGCTCAAACATTTTTTATGCTTCTTTCAAGCCTATTAGAAACCTTAATTGCTTATTAATTTCTCCCCCAACTGTGGAGGAAGTATATTGTGGTGGCTGCAGTACCAGCTGCAAGGCCAACCTGCCTGGTTTCTGGTTTAGATTCCCATGATGCCACGTCCCAGTTGTGTGACCTAGAATAGGCCTCTGCCCCTTCCTATTCCTCAGCTACTGCCTCAGCACCTCCCCTCCCTCAGCTACTCCCTCA